GATCCAGCAGACCGCCGGGGCCGGAAGACCATATAAAGGAGCCCGTACACGTACTGTACATGCACAAGGCAAAACAAAACTATTTATCTCTTGCGCCATGACAGCTCCAAGATTTGATCACCGTTCCTCTCATCGCGCATGACATACCACTGAGTGACACGGTCGTTCTCCTCGTGGACGGCATCTTGCAACTGGAATGACCTTTTATGCTCGTCCTTGCGGCGGAGGGGACCCAATTCGTGCAGGTAAGATTCGTCATTGGCGCCATTGTGGGGGTCCCAGGTCTGTTCCATGGCGATGTCATCCTGGTCCGGGTCGGCGTGATACTTGATGACCGAGAACCCGTTCGTCAAGATCCAACCGTCGCCAAAGTGCCATTTGCGGAGGAGACAGCTGTCGCCGCATAGCTCGGCGACCACCGCTAGCTTCGGCATGTCGGCGTGGAACCAGGACTTCCAGTGGTGCACTGTGAGCGGGGGCTCGCGGCCGGACTCGAAGAATCCAGAGGCGTCGTGCATCAGGTCCAACTGTCTTAGACGGTGGTCCACCGTCAGCCGGGTCTGGGTGTAGCGGTACACGCAGATGGCGATGCGACGATCGCCTGTGAAATCCATCGCAGAACACTTGTCGTACACGTTGGTCATTTCCACCAAGAGAGGTTTCGATAAGAAGACGCCTGCACCTCCAAATCCAATCATTCCGAACGCCGCAATCTGCGGGATAGACTCTGACAATCCGCCAATATACATAGAGGTGGTGTGGTCGTACTTGGCGAGCGCATCCACCAGTCTGGGCATTGACAGGAAGAATGTGTCGTCGTCGATAATACAGCCCCATCGGGTTGTTTCCCGTGCATTCTCCTTCAAAAGAGGGATGAGTGCGAAGTATCGGTTGAGGTAGTCATCCTCCACCTCAGTGATGTGGAGGTTGATCCCCAGAGAGTCTGCCTTGGTCAAGACATCCCGTTTTCCGTTTTCCGACTGATCCGGTTCGATCAGCGCGAAAATGCGACAGCGCGAGTATCCAGCCCAGTGAGCGAATGCATCCAGAGACTCATTCAATCTCTCGACACTGGTCGCCACGCCAAAATCGATGTGTGATGCGTCCGCCAATTTCGGTGGCTGTGGGACCCGCAAGGACACTGGGGCGGGAACTGAGCACCCGTCCGCTGCTCCTTCAGTGCCCTTTGGCACTTCCAAGAACGGCTGCTCAAGCCACTGCGTGTAGGGCAATGGTTCGTCTGTCATATCGAGTACGATTTCTCGGCGGGTGTACTGGGCGACTTTGACAACGTCTAGGCTTTCCAATTTGTCGTAGTCGAGATCGCATAAGACATCGGGGGCGACGGTAATGTTGTTGGAAACTGTCTGCAGCGGCAGCTTCACTGGCTCGACCGAGGGCCATAGTACAGCGGCAAATCCTACCACAAACAGGAAGACAGCTCCAAACCGCAGCACCTTTTTCCAGGCCCATGACGCCCCAGGAACAGACCCATCTCGGGCGCTGAATAGCATATTTTGTGTTGTGAGATTTTGTCGGCTTCTACCGCATTGCGGAGATAAGAATTTGGTCTAGAACACAATCAAGGGCCCACGGTCGCAGGCTGATGAAAGTGCGGTATAAATATGCCCAGGTGGTATGGAGAGGGATGGAGGAGAGGAAGAGGAAGAGGGAAGAAGAAGAAAATGAAAAGAACGGGAAGATAAGGGTCAATGGACGATCATGGTTCCATGGGATGAAAATGGACAGGGCCAATTCTCTAAGGGGCCCGAAAGACGATCGATGACGTTGGAAGGGTCCATTTGGCGAAAGTCACGTGTGTTCAAATATACCTGGTAGGAGTCTCGTCCCACGGTAACTTCAAGGGGTTTGGAAATTATATCCAGGTACGAAGCGATATAGGGACAATATGCTTCTGAGTAATTTATCCATTCCAATACTATTTAACATGGTGATTCCTACTCCCCAATCCTGGTTACAGAGCACAGCTGGAAATACTCACGTACAACCGTGCCAGTGCCAAGACTTCATAAGCAGTGATCCCTGCCTCTCACTCGTCTGTGATCCCTCCATTCCCCACATCCGCGCGTCCTCTACCCGTGTGCTACTCCGACCAAAATGGCCGAGATAGCCAAGACACTATTTCGCCCTAAATAAGCACTGCAATGGAGTATAACGGAGTAATGTCCGGACAGTCATTGTTGTATCTAATAACAATTGACGTTTGTGACATTGGCGGCTATTTGCCAACTTCCCAGGGACAGCTTGGTTCATCCACGCACCGTTCCCACCACGCTACCACTCAGCCCCACTGCATTGATTGAAGATCCTTGGGTGATATTCAAGCCTATTACTCTTTTCTCACGAGAACTTTTGAGGCATTGTTGACATGTTCTCCGTACTGTACGGAGTACATTGTATGGAGGCGAGCCGACCCAGCCCCCGATGCCAATGCCAATGAGGCATACTGGAGTCCCACTCGTATAAGGAGGCCTAGTCTGCCTTACATATGGTTTGCATGGATATTTCTTGTTCCTCTGCGGATTTCATCATCCTCCGCACTGTGGCCCCCAAGATGCGTAGCTGGTGGCCAGGGCAAGGGCTTACGAGTCGGTCAGACAATCTCTAGGGCTCCTTTCGACGTTGCTATTCCTAAGTCTTTCCTTTCCATGAAGTAAGACTTAGTTGCGTAGTAGTGTGGATTCAAGTTAAATGTACATACAACAAAAGGATATCATCAAGAATAACAGATGTATGCATCGAGAAGGAATGTTAAATAGGGACTGGACTACCACGGCTTATCCCTTCCTCTCCTCTGTGCCTTTGATAGTATGAAGTAATATAGATGGAAAGCAGAGTGGTCCGTACGAGTCCTCCAGACAGGAAAGAAAGGACTGTCAGTTTGAATGACCTCCTTTTCTCGTAAACTTACCAAGTTGCCGGTTTCAAACCAGTTTCGACCCGTGCCGTCTTGTGCTAAATATATGACAATAGGTTAGAACACGAATCAGACTCAATCAGCGATTATGGACTCATATAGCTGCCATCGGTGTATTGATTAGGGTCGATTGGGTAGTCTAGCCATCTCCGATATAAATCCTCTGTATCTTGCGTTGTAGATATGCACGTTAACTGATAGAGTGTGTGATCCCAGTTATAGAAGCTACTAGGGCCACCATTGATGTTATCAGGTTTACCTGGATTCATAATTCATCCAAGCTCCCTCGATGTTCTTTCTCAAAGCATAGTGACTAAATAATCCCCAGTTGGTCTCGTTCTCCTTGATTCTAGAGGTGGAGGAAGTGTGGCTGGTGTTGACCCTGTGCCCGTATCCCCACAGTCGACAAAAGCGATCGGAATAAACATATCCGTCGACACCGATTGCCAAATGCGACCCGAGCAAGGGTGGGGAAAGGTTTATGCTAGGTTTCACGTAGATGAAAGTTACCCTTTTGGATACCTAAATAAACATAGACCATGTTCTGGGCACTTCAGACCGGCTCGGAGTCTTTCCTCAAGAGCCCTCCCGCGCGTGAAAGCTCTCTATAAACTCTTTTCGGCACTAGTTAGTGTTGGATTCTGGGTATGGGCCATAGATGGCAGGAATCGCTGGGAGTCCTCATCAGTTCCATCTGCCACCGTCAAGGTGCCGCCGCGATATGATTTCTCCTCTCTATGGATCACGGGTTAACAAAGAGTATAAAGGATAGATATCAACACACGATATGTGATCATATGAGAGGACGTATGGAATACATTCAGTGGACGACATACCGAACATCACGTAATGTTCCAATCCCAGCCTGCTTATAGGCAAATGGCGCTTGATCATCTTATCACTTCGAGCTCCTATTGACGATATCTCGGCAATGGACTGAGCGGGATAGAGTGTTGCCCCACATTAGTTCGCTTTAAGCACCTTGGAGCCCCACTGGATGTGCCGATCCAGGAAATGGGACAGAGAGAAATATCCGACACTGTTGGAACCCGGTACTTGTCAATCCAAACACCGTCGACAAGACTACACTGCGAGTCAAACTTCATAGTTGAGGATGGTTTCATATCTCCCGGTATAGAGTTTCATCCTAAATTAAAGAGGAATCTAGCGCTACGTCTCCACTTTTGGCCAGCATCATTTGTAACCGGTAATATGCCGGAACTTAGTGCTGGGGCTGTTGATGTACGAAGTATAAGGCACTCCATATTGGTAAGAAGTACAGGGCACTCTATAAGTGGATGCAAGGAAAACATAGCATTGATGTCAGGTTGCCTTGGTGGCTAGGCAAGAATATACGCTAACTACATACTTTTTAAGGTTACCAGAACACGCAAGCAGCTCAATGAGATAGACAACACGTGAAATGACGAGGGGGAGGGGCCAGTGGGAATCATCCTTGGACACGATGATGGATGGACATGAAGAAAACTCTCTTGTCCTTCCTATCTTAACTAAGTTCAATGCGTCTCCAGGTCTCCAGGTCTGCAGGACTGGCTATCCATCGTTCAACACGCTAGGTACATACCAGCCCGAAAGAAAGGGCGTTGGCGGCAACGTTTGTTTTCTCAGTATGTTTCGGGTAGTCCAGCTGCGGAGCCCCCCCCCCGGGGTCTCAGCACTCGTGAATTTGAAGTACTAGGAAATCCGCTAAAATTTCGTATATATCGAGTTTACAATGCAAGAATTGACTTTGACGCAGATTCAGCTCAGCACACACTCTATAAAGCCCAGCAAGTCGAGATCTGTCACCGTTATTCGTAAATTTGTTGATGCTCAAATATGACACGTGAGCTACGGCGGGGCATATTAGCGTTAAGCGCAGAAACCCCCCAATGGGGAAAAGACCAGTTCCCGCACATTGGAGTTTGATATCAGTTGATCTGGGGAAATCGGCCACTGTGTTCTTTGTATAAATCCCACAATCTCATATTTCATCCGATACTGAGGTTACCATCTTCTTCGCCCCCTATTACCACCCCGAAATTCTCGAGCGACCCCCGCCATGGTTGCGCAATCGCTGGCCTCGCTATTGCAGCGGGCGTCGATTGACGACCACGAGGAAGTCCTCCAGTCGTGCAATGCAGTCCTCACCAAATCCAAATCCAATTTGCAAGCACAGCACATGAAAGTTGTTGCTCTATTGAAACTCGACCGTTACGAAGAAGCTCTCAAGACATTCCAGGCCGGAGGCGATGCGCTGAAGCAGAGTGCAGGCTTGGAATACGCCTATGCATCATACAAGTGCGGGAAGCTTGAAGAAGCCACAGAAGCCTTGACTCGCGCAGCTTCTGGGCGTGGTGCTAGTCACCTCGAGGCACAAGTGGTATGGTACCCCATCTGTCCTTCTGTTTGAGGACCAATGTTGATTGTCTTGTCGTAACAGCGCTATCGTGCCGAGAACTTCCGACGGGCAGCTGAGCTTTATGAACAACTTTCCAAAGATGCGGCGTCTTCCGCTCACGAGGTTAATGACCTGAGCATCAATTCGTGGGCTACCGATGCCCAGCTTCAATGGAAAGGGGAGACGGAATTCGTGCGCCACGACCGATTGTCGAGGGAGGATTTGGAATCATTCGAAACAACCTACAATGCAGCTTGCTTGAACATTGCAAAGGGGGAATTCAAGCAGAGCGAGGTCTTGCTCAATCGAGCTCAAAGTCAGCATGCCGCCGTGTTGCCCAAGACTAGGACTCAAACTGACGTTTCGCATAGATATCTGCCGCACATCAGAGGACCTTTCTCCTGAAGACAAGGCTGCAGAGATGCTGCCAATTGCAGTCCAACAACTCTATGTTTTGATTCAACTCGGAAAGTTGGAAGAGGCCGAGGCGGTTCTCAAAGATATCTCCGTGGAAAAGTATGTTGAATCATGCCAGCTCGAAACTGATTACTTACATCCTTTCCTAGTATCACCGAGTTATCTACCAAAAAGATTGCCCGCAACAACATCGTCCTCGCTCGTCCGACTGACGTCAACCCCTACATCCTCTACAAGGCCCTCCACGACACCCCAGATGCCATCAATAACGATCGACTATTCGAATTTCAGGACCGTGATATGGTCGGCAACTTCCCACGCCGCAGACCTCCTTGTGCAAAAGTACGATGGCATAATCCGGTCCACAGCTAAGGCACAGTCAAAACGCCCAAGCCCATCTACCGACGCCATCACCAACCTTCTCTCTGTATTCAACGCCGCAGCACACGCTCAAGGCGAAACCGGCCCTAAAGCCCTCAAACAGATCGTTCCCTTGCTAGAGCGACGGCCCACAGACATCGGCCTTCTTCTGACAGTGGTACAGCTCTATGTCAGCGGCGGCAACACCACCTCTGCTATCACAGCCATGGAGCGAACCCTCCGCTGTCTTGAAGGGTCAAACGAGTCCATCCGCTTCAACCCAGGCCTCCTCAGCGTCCTCGTCTCCCTGTACCAGCGCGAAGGTCGTATGGTCCAGATCCGCACCACCCTCGCACAAGCTGCCTCCTACTGGCGCGCGAAGCCCGAGCCCCCCGTGTCCCTCCTCCGCGCAGCAGCCGCCTCCTCCTCCTTCACTCTGAAGACCGCGCCGACCTAGCCACGGCAGGTGATCTATTCCGTGGTCTGCACCAGCAAGACCCCAACGACCGCATCGCCATTGCTGGCTATGTTGCCTCACAAGCAACTCTGGACTATGCGCAGATTGAGTCCGAACTCGACCGCCTGCCGGCAGTCAGCGACCTGATTGCCGACGTCGACGTCTCAGCTCTGGAATCCGCTGGCATCTCTCCCTCCGCCTCCTCGGTTGCAGCGGCCGCTGCTGCCTTCGCCGGTGCCCGCAAGCGCACCGCAGCTAGCGCCGATGACCGTGCCAACAAGCGTGTCCGCAAGTCCCGTCTGCCCAAGGACTTCGATCCCGCCAAGAAGCCCGACCCTGAGCGCTGGCTGCCTGTGCGCGACCGCTCTTCTTACAGACCCAAGGGCAAGAAGGGTAAGCAGCGTGCTGCTGCACTCACGCAGGGTGGTCCTGTGAATGAGAAGACTGAAGAGTCCCCCGCTCAGCAGCAGCAAAAGTCCGGCGGTGGCTCTAATGCTAAGAAGAATAAGAAGAAGGGCAAGCGATAGTGTAATATCAGACAGATAGATATCATAGCTTGAATGCTACCTACGATACATGGAACTCAGGTATGTATCTCGTATTTCATATTGAAGGGCACCTCAAACCCGAGACCGCGAGTAAATATATTCCCACCAGCTTTTTTAGCTCCGAAGACTCCGATCCCGCATAACCAGATGTAAACAGCCCCCGTAAAACCAGCCCAGGTACTAGCGACGCGACTTCTTTGAGAAAGTACCCGACGAATGTCCCCTCCACCGATTTCAAACCGCCTGTCAAGAATCGACGCTCAACCTAACGGAGTCCGAATGGTACCGCATTGGCGGTTGTAATGGTCAAAGATCATAAGCAGCAGCCGCAGGTCCATGACAGCGTCGTCAGCAGTTGTCTTCGCCGCCGACGCGCCACCAACCAGATAAGAATGCAGAGCCATGAATTCACGCTCATACGCCTCGTCACAGGTACTGACAGTCTCCGTCCGCCTCACACGAGGCCGAGGAACAGCATTCTCCACCACATTGATCTGATTTCCATTAACATTATCCGACTCCGTCGTCCCATCCGCTTCCTCAACAACAACCCGCACATAAGTCCCAGTACTGATTTTCTCCCCAGGACGGGGGAAGTCATACTCCACGCTGAGAGTCTTGTGCGCGCCGTAGACAGTCAAATGAGCATCACAACGGGGTATGGCATCAACCCCAGCCTCATAGACAAGTATGAACGGGTGACCGTTATTCTCAGCGGAATTCGTATAGTGGAAAATGGCCGAGTAGAACGGGTCCGTGATAGCGACATTAGAAACCGCATCTGGGAATCCCAACGACTCGCGCATCACCGATAGATCATGACACCCCAGCATGCCGAGGTAGCGACAGAACGCGACTCTGTCAGGTGTGAGATCCTCTTCCGACCCGAAGACGTCATTCAGCAGTGCGCGGAACTGCTCCGGGTTATTGTTGCTCTTCATTGACGGCGCGATGTCTCTCGAGGTTGGTGTGCCGATGTGGTTCATTGGGCCGGCGATGTGTCGGCAGCGCGCGTAGTACACGCGGCCTAGGGCCGCGAGTTCCTTTTTAAAGACTTCTGTGAAGCAGGGGGCGTAGCGGCGCGCGCATCCGACGAATACCTTTGGGCCGTCTGTTTCGCTGGTGCCGTCCAGGGATCGGGAGACTTTGCCTTTCTTGACTGCTTCGCGGATCCGGCGCAGGCTTGAGATGCTCATTGTGAGGGGCACTTCGACCATGACGTCTTTGCCGGCTTCGAGGGCTGTCACGGTGTATTGCTCGTGGTACTCCATTGGGAGGAGGTTGAGGATGACGTCCACTTCTTTATGGCGCAGGACATCTTCGACGACTGTGGTGCTGTAGGTTATGTCGAAGCGGGATTGGCATTGCTTTGCGATCTCGGCGTTGGGGTCGTAGATGGCTGTGAGGGTGTAGTGTGTTTTTAGGGAACGGAGGACCGGGAGGTAGGTTGCTTGGACGGCGTTCGTGGCGCCTAGGATGCCTAGGCGGAGGACAGGGGTTGACATGTTAGAGGAAGGATAGGGAGCTGTAGATTAGATGATTACAGGTGGAAGAAATCTGAGAGATGATCGGGCCTTTTGTATATCGCCTGGGCTGAATGACCGAGAATATGAATGATATTCCAGGTAGCTCAGGGATTAAGGGAGTTGTGAATGTGAAAGTGAGCAAAGCGCACAAGATTAGATAGAGTAAGAGTGATGCTTCATTAACACGATCTTTAGGATGATCAAACAAAGAAAAGAGCCCCTGTGAGCTGTGTAGCATCGTTTTCAAGGGCATCCCTGGAGCATGCCAACTTTGTGACATCATTGTCCAGTGATCAGATTTCATACTTCGGTCAGAGTTTTAACCCCAGATTTTATCCATGGTCAGTAAGATTTCCGTTGATTCTGATGCACTTAATATAGACAGTTGCAGATCTTGTGCCGATCCTATCTTGTTAAATATGGTTCAGGAAATGTGTACACCCGACATTGGTTGGGAATGAAAGGCATCATCGCGTGTAGTGACGAAGGGTCATGCTCCTGGCGTAGACTCATCCGCTTAGACAGAGCTTTAATCATGATGTTTTCCTGTATGCCGTGTTGATGGACTTTTGTAAAAGTAACCATAGATGTAAGAACAAGAGTAAGAACAAGAATAAGAATTATCCTCCGTTCTAAAAAAGTGGAGATGTGGGTCGCAGTAAACAACCAGAACTATATTGTACTTCAAGCGAAGTTGCAGGTGAAGTATTAGTACAGTAGTATGCTTTATCTGAATTGTGACCAAAAGATCTAAAATAGTATGGCATATCTACTTTGATCTGATACTCATGACCGACATGTTCGGCCTGGCCTACTAGATCCCTTGAGTTAACCCTTTCCCATAGCCACACAGCCTATAGCAAGATCTTACTATGTTTTTGTTACCTTACAACTTTTTGTTCTCATTTAGCTCTTTTACAATTGCCCTGAATTTGTTGTAATCTCACAACTCTCTCTATATTCTTTTTTGTCTGCCAGGGTGGTTAAGTTGAAGCGCGGGCATTGACAACCAATGCTTCGCCATACGAACTTATGTCATAGCCATTCTCTTCCAAGTATGCTTTGAACTTGGCATCCTCTGTCTCTAGCTCTCGAGACATATCTGGGATGAGGAACCAGGAAAGAATACCACCAACCATTGTAAAGGCCGCACCAATTAGGAAAACCGCTTGCTGGCCTTTAGCGGTAGTATCGAAGGAGTTCTGAATTGGGGTGAAGACTTCTGTCCCAATCGATGCCCCAGCTTTACCAACTGCAGCTGCAAATCCGAGAAAATGACCGCGCAGGGGTGTTGGGAACGACTCCGAAGCACAGAGAAACGTCGACACTCCAGGGCCCATCTCTCCGAGTGCCTGGAAAATGCCGTACATGACTATAAAAAGCGGGAAAACACTCTGAATAGGATGGAGGGCAGCCCCCAGAATAAATCCCCATATACCCCAGAGCATAAAACCTAGGGTCATGTTCTGTTTGCGGCCGATTCGATCCATTAGGATACCACCAATCAAACAACCTGGAAGGTAGAAACAGTTGATAACGGTCTGGAAATTATGCTGTCAGTTTAAGCAGCTAAAACATGGTGATATGATGACCTACCCCGTATCCAATATTCTGAACTGTGGTGTTGTTGGGATTCAGCTGCTCGATGATGGTGGATGAGAACAGACCAAATGGATATGTGACGAAGTCGTAGCAGAACCAAGCCATGGCTACAAATATCAACGTTAGCTAAAGCCACCGCACAATTTAACCAAACTGAAGCGACTCACATGTTCCAAGCATGGGCTTCCAGTAGCGACGTAGTACTAATCCATAGGGATACTGCGACTTGATAGCGTGCTTTTGGTATTGAGTAGAGTTGACCATTCGAACGCGGAAGAAACAGATTGATATTGGCAACTGATACCAATGTCAGAATTATTACATCTTACTAGCTCTTTATAAGGCAAGAGACCTACCACAATACCCAGACCGAAAGTAACGCGCCAGACTCCTTCAGAATCTTGTTGGCTGTAACACGCGAGAACAATAAGAGCGATTAATCCAGCTGCAACAAATCCCTATCGTAAAGTTAGCAAGGTCGTCGTCAACTTCGTCCCTAGTACTCACCAGATCTATGGCGAAATCGGTGGTGAGTGCGACCAAGAAGCCACGTCGCTTTCGGAGGTCGACTGTCTCATCGGCAGCCTCAGTGGCACTAGTGGCACAAACAGGATATTCTCCTCCAGCGCCAAATCCTGCAATGCCTCGTGCAACAATCATCATCCAAAACATCCTTAATGTGGTGTCAGTGATGTGTCTCGATCAAAATGGCTAAAGTGTTTGGACAAGATACCCTAGTTGCGATTTCCCATGAGAGGCAGTTGCCAGCACCACCCCGAGAATAAGGAACGCTGTTGCAGCGACAATACCAGTCCGACGACCAATGCGGTCAATCAGAACACCAAAGAAAAGCATGCCAAATATCTCACCGATGAGATAAGAGTTTGAAAGGCGGGACTTGATAGTTGAGGACATTCCATCCATGTAGCTGGACTCATCAGTAAATATGGCCAGAAGTGTTTCGGAGATAGGGCTACTCACAGGACGGAGAATAAAGGCTCCATGTAGCCAACTACCACGCGGTTAGTAATTGGGATAAAAAGAAGACCTTTGGAGATATAGATCACCACGTACTGATTTGAGCGTTGTATCCATCACTGAACAAGGCCAACCCGGAAACCACTACATTGAGCACACCCGAGCGTTTCTTCTCGGGTTTCCGTTGCTCAATATCCCAGTCGGTTTGCGAGACTTGCTCCTTGGGATCTTTCATCTTCATGACGGAGTCACTGGGAGATGTAGCCATGTTGACCAGGATACTGAATGAAATACCAATTACTATATGTTACCAATATCAATGGGGATATATTTATATCTATAGAAGCTACCTTGGTATATTTGATGGCTCTAGTGGTGAATTACTTCCTAAAAGAGACCAATGAGAGCGTGGAATAGGGACACGATAACGTCGGTGGGAAGTGCGAGATGTGCGGGTGGGTCTGTACTAAGTTGGGGTCTAAGCTCTCTGCCTTATATCCCCGGGGATAACAGAACTCCACAGTCTCGGTAGTTTCATGGTGACCTTGTGATCGTCAAACCTATCAGAACTTATATTTCAGCCATGTGCCTGAGTATCCAGTCTCTCCAGATCCTCAGCCTCCTTGAATAGGGTAGTACCCGTTTGTCAGGCCTATCGGAGCTTATCTTTCTTTCATGTGCTTGAACATTTCACATGGCGGACCTACATTTTGCCGCGTTTAAGAAATACTCATCTCGGTGCGAAGGGCGATACCTCCGGACTCTCAATGTAACGGCCGGCTTTTCGATCGATCTACAAAATGCGAGCTTCTGATCGTTTCACCAGCACGTTCTGTTCAGTGTTTCTACTCGAATATACCGGTAACAGAAATGGATAATTTTCATTACTCGCTCTCTGCTGAGCAGCTGGAGAATTTCCAGGAGCGTGGATACCTACTGATCCGCGGGTTCTTCACTCCTAAGGAATCGGAGCTGTTGCGAGAATGGGCGCAGGAAGTCCACGATCTTCCATGCACCCCTGACGTGCCCTGGATGCCTTATGAGGAGGTGAATTCGGAAGGCAAACACGTGCTGTGTCGCACTGAAAACTTTGCCAACTCGCATGCCGGATTCGATAGCTTCCTCCGAGGACAGCGTGCAACAAGTATTCTACAACAGCTCGCAGGAGAGGAGATGCTTCTCTTCAAAGAGAAGATTAACTATAAGTTGGCAGGAAGTGGTAAGTAATTCCCGCTTTACAGCCCTGTTTGGGTAACTCACTCGCTTGATAGGCGGTTTCGATCCCCATATCGATGCCAATGCCTACACCCATGTTAAAAACATCAAGCATTTGACAATCCTTGCGGCAGTCGATGGAATGAATGCTGCCAATGGAGGTCTGGAAGTGGTGGACGGCAGCCATCGCATGGATATTCCTCTCGGCAGTGATCGCTGCATTGCGTCCGACTGGGTCGAAAGCAATGTCTGGACACCAGCTGAGCTTGAGTCAGGTATGCAGATTGAAAAGCTCCCCAATACTTTTACTCCAGTTTCGCTAATGGAAGTAGGAGATATCTTGATTTTTGGCTCGTATCTGGCCCATCGCAGTGGCGCCAATGTTAGCTCTAAGGACCGGCGTGCGATCTATGCAACGTATAACTGTGCCGCTGAAGGTAATCTGCATGACCAGTACTATTCCGACCGTCAGAAACTCTGGCCTGCGACACACATGCGGCAAAGCGGACAGTCATACGAGGAAGGTCGTGTGCGATATGCCTTTGGGTCCCCTATGTTAACTGTGGACTCGAAGGTCATCTCGGCCTGATGGATATAGTCAAGCCGCACGGCATACTTTGTAAAGTAAAAGTCAATCCCGTGATCCAAAGATATTGTAACAATGTTATTGATTGGTCAAAGCAAAATCCCTCTAACTAGGTAAAACGTATATCTTATTGGAATAAATCGGTCAGGCCCAGACTTCAAATCCGACTGGTGTGGGCCACCGGCATGATGACCGAACACTTTAGTCAAGGTACCTGCAACTGGACCGGAGATATAGTAAAAGGGCCATGGCGTATATAAATGATTCCTTCCAAGCTTCCACCTCGCTTCTTCCTCATCTCTCTTTTGTCCAGCCGGATCTTGTTTCTCTCCAACGCTCCTCGTATCCGAGAAATTAGGACTATGAATCAGCAATCACCCAAAGAAAAAGCAGAGGCTTTGATCGGCGCTCTAGAAAAGTATGGCCAAGGCGACTACATCGGGGAATCGATTAGCCAGTTAGAACACTGCCTGCAGGCGGCTCACCAGGCCAGTAAAGCGAGTGCGTATTAATCCTAATATCTCTGACGATCACTAATATCTTCGAGATGCTCGTGACGAGTTGGTAATTGCGGCTTTATTGCATGACATTGGTCAAATCATTCCGCTAGAATCTACCAAGGAGGCACGCATGAATCTTCGCGAAAGCACGGAAAACGTCGGCCGTGTCGGTCATGAAGCCATCGGGGCATCATACCTGCGATCTCTTGGATTCAGCGAAGTAGTGTGTCGCTTGGTAAATAGTCATGTCGCTGCGAAGCGGTAGGTAATCTTGTCCGTCTTTTTGCGAGCCCAGACTCACCTTCTAGGTACCTCACTGCTACCGACCAGAGATACCACGAATCTCTATCATCTGCCTCGCAGAAGTCGCTGGCATTTCAAGGGGGCCCCTTCCGAGGTGCAGACCTCAAGAACTTTGAGGAAGATCCACTTCGAGACGAAATGGTCTCACTTCGACTGTGGGATGATGCTGCCAAATTGGAGGGTGTTGAGGCCACCACACCCCGTGCTGGGGTCTATCTGGATATGATAATCGCGCATTTGCTCCGTGAAACCTGAGGGAGCTAGGGTGTATTGGTTAAATTCCAGCTTGGATGCCTATTGACATGTTCGGTTTCAGCTACAAAGAGAAACACGTGTTTTTTCCAAGGTCCACAGGTCCACCCATGCCCAGGTGGGCATATTGTTCACTAAGTAAGCTGTTCAGGCTCGGGGGTGTAAAAATAATTAGTGGGGAGGCTAAGCGCCCTCATGAAGCGGCACCATGGAAATGACTCCAAGAATTCGTTGTCATATGCGTTATTATATGTATAGGGCTGCATTTATACCAACCTGCTGACTTCATTTAAGATACTTAATAGGTACTTCTTTTGGTAGTAAGGAAAGTGGGGGGCGCCAAGTATCCCAAGGTACCTTTCGTATACAGCTCAGCCTCACTTGGGCGACTAAGAGGGGCTATCCACATCAGGCAACGTCATCGAACTTTGGATTTCTCTCGTGATACTCCGACCTCTGCCTCTCTGTCTTACTTTGTCTCCTCTTTTCCCCATCCAGTTTTATCATGGGTGTAAGTCTTCCAGATTCCTCCCACTACAACTCCTGAGAGAACCCCCTCAATCTGACCATCTTTAGTTTGCTCAGAAAATCGCCGCAGCTCAGAATAGTCAGAACATGGCTAACAGTGGTTCATATGGAGGTGCACCTCCGTCAGGATACACTGGGGGTCCTCCTGCCGCTCTGCAGCCTGGTGGATCGGTAAGTCATGTCCATCTCTGCGCCTGCTGCTATGACTCGTTCGACGTCATAGAGAAGGAAAAAGAAAAAAGGTGCTAACGTTCAGCAGAGCCAACAGCCCCAATACCAGGCTTATTCAGGATCCCCAGCCCCCCAGGGATCGGTAAGCTATATTTTTTCTTAACTCTTTTTGCTTTCCGTGTTTTTTTCCCCCGCTTCCACGATTTACCCCTCCACGGTCATCATCTTTCTGGAACCATGTCGGGACCTTACCAAGGCTATCCTCCATACGGCGGCTCATCTCAACCTCAGAACAATCCATCATCTCCGTACTCCAGGCCCCCGCCATCCACACCATACCCCGCATCGCAGCAATCTCAGCAATCTCAGGGCTATGGCCGCCCGCCTCCACCCCCACCACAAGGCCAGCCTTATGCCTCTGCTGGCTCGCCATACCCGGGTCAGCAACCGGGACAGCCCTATGGTTCTCCTAGCTCGCCCTATCCTGGTCAACAGCAAGCTCCTCCACAAGGATACCCCGGACAACAGCAATACCCCGGACAACAGCAATACCCCGGACAACAGCAATATCCTGGACAACAGCAATATCCCGGACAACAACCATACCCTGGACAGCAGCCGCCATATGTACAAAATAACCCCTGCCCTGCATCACTGCCTGTTCCTGTGTATTCTGTCTGAGCACTTCGGATTCTCGTTGAATGGGTAATAGTTGGAAAGCGATGCTAACGGAAAATTGAACCAGGCACCGCCCTACCCTACCCAGGGAGCCCCGTACCCCGGTGGCCAGGGCCGTCCTGGACCCTCACCAGGACCACCAAGCGGACCACCGCCAGGCCAGTATGGCCCACCCGGTGGCGCCCCTCCCTCCGCAGCTCCCCCGGCCACTCAGCAACAGGTCGCAGCCTACCGATCGCTGTTGATTTCCACGATTCAGGAGAAGAATCTCCAAAGCTTCTACCCTCCCGAGCGACTGGACCGACTCGTTCAGTCGCTTGCCGCTGAAGCACCAGGCAAGCTCAATAGGCTGATTCATGAATGGGCCGTGCCCATGGAGGTTGCGACCGATGTCATGAAGCTTTCGCTGTTTGACGTGGTTCTCTATGTTGATGACAGTGGATCTATCGAATTCGAAGAGAAGGGACTCCGAAAGGACCAGCTCAAACAAATTCTCGGTATCGTAGCTACTGCCGCATCTACCTTTGACCAGGATGGTATTTCTGTCCGATTCATGAACTCCAGCGAGAAGGGCGATGGCATCCGCAATGCAGATGATGTCGAGCGCCTAGTGTCTCGAGTCCGTTTCTCAGGCCTGACCCCTCTGGGCACCAGTCTGAGGAGCAAAGTCATCGACCCCATGGTCGTTCAACCCGCCCAGGCCAACCGTCTGGAAAAGCCTGTTCTGGTGATCACCATCACCGACGGACAGCCTGCTGGCGAGCCTCACGGTACCGTGGGTGATGTCATTCGCTACGCAGTGGAGGAGACGTCACGGACCCGTTATGGCCCCGGCACCGTAGCCTTCCAGTTCTCGCAGGTGGGAACTGATCAGCGGGCTCGCGACTTCTTGGGCTCTCTGGATGAGGACCCTCATATCGGCCATCTGATCGACTGTACTTCCAGTAAGTTCCACGTGGGGTTCTATAGTGGATCTAACTAACGTGGTGTTCTAGACTTTGAGGTTGAGCAGGATGAGATGTCGCGTGCTAACCCACCCGTGCATCTTACTCGCGAGCTTTGGGTAAGACGTTTCAAGACAGTGATCATTGCATAGTATTTAACTGACTCTCCGTTTAGTGCGCCAAACTGATGCTCGGCGCTATCGATTCTTCTTACGACACCAAGGATGAGCGAGAAAATGCACGTCGTGGTGGACCCCCACCACCAACAGGCCAGTACGGAGGAGGGTACGGCCAACCTCCGCCACCCCAGGGCCAAGCTCAGCCTCCGTATGGTCCGCCCCCTGGTGCCCCACCGGCTTCGTACGGTTCCCAGCCGGGCTACCCACCGCAGGGTCAATACCAACAGTCTCCCCAGCAGCCTCCCTACCAGGGATCGCGGGGTGGGTATGGCCAACAGCAGCCACATGGGTATGGATCTCCTGGACCTGGCTACCAGTATGGTGGACAGCCGCCACGCTATTGATGGAATGTGACATCATAGGGCTTCTGAATTTACTTTCTTTTTTTTCGCCATGCTTTGAGGGAAGGTTGTTGGGTTCTTTTTACTCCCCGTAGTTTCCATGAATTACGAACTCGAACCTAACTTTAACTTTGAATATTATTTTTTATCGTTTAAATTTGGGGCCTTCCAAGGTTGACAGGTCTATGGAGTAGTACCTAAGGTACGGAGTACATACAACATAGTCTTTTGTGAACGGGCCTGCCAAGGCTACACTAAAACGAATCAGCCCACGAGTTTGCTAGGGCGCTCAAGAGTGGTTGTACAGATGCAGCATATTTCAAGGTTAACATGTATTGGCTAAAAGAGGAAAAGAGAAGAACCTTAGGAACCTTGGAAGTCACCATGTACCTACTTTGGTCGGTACCTACCTGGGCCTGAAGTCCCCAATTTTCCGCCATCTGCAATAGGGCTGCAGGGTCCTGGGAATGTGAGGGTGGCCAATTAAAAATCTGGTAGTTCTGGATCCAGCGGGTCTTTTCGTGTGTCGCCCCAATGCAGCGAGGAACAATCCCATCTGATTCGACGATTCTTAATTTAAACCTGGATGGGGCTGTGCCCGGGGCGTAAGCGTGGGCATTAGATGGTTGCATCTTACGCGTTGCCCAGAACTTCCAAGGTTGGCCATGAACGGTTTTGGCTGTTGACAAGGTTTTAGACGTTTTAGACGTCTGGGATTTTCCAATGCCCACTTTAACTCCAATTTTCTCATTCTATGCCTGCCTATCATATCCTTGTATGGAGTAACTCTTTTTTCGTAGATATCGTCAGTTGGAAACACTAGGCCGTTTTGGGGTTACCACTTCCCTCCAGACTTGGTCTTGGCTGCTCCTCTCTCTCTGGGTTTTTTTAGTCTTAGTCTCTTAGTCTTGGCCTCTTTTCTTTTTCTCTTCTATACGAAATCATTGCGCCCTTCGTTTCTATCCTTGCGTCCGACGGGAGTACTTTCGTTTGCTCAACCCTCGCAACACCTTCATTTTAGGGGGAAAACATCTCCACTGAAAGAACAGCAGAAGGATGACTGTCTAATCAGTGCGCTCAATCGAATACTTTACTTTGATCTTGAGAGGGAATACTAGCAGAGGAAGGATCCAATAATCTCGGAGGAGAGAGGAAAAAAAAAAGGTACCGAGATCGTCGGGATCTGTCCCGCGCATTCGTGCCAGGAATTCGACTGTCGTCATGTCCAACGACAAATCTGCAGAGCCTACAGAAGGCAACCAACCCGAGCAGAACGATGCCCTCAGACGCCCATCTCTTGTACCCTCACGAACCCTCTCGGATTCCGGGCGGCGGATCTCCTCTCAACATGTGCGCTTCTCAACCGATCTCGATCGCGAGTCGGCCGAGGAACAACGACAGACAAACTGGGACGGACGCCCCAATTCTCGCGGCCTAACCATCAACACGGCGCCGGCGCCTCCATCTGTTCGAGCCGCTTCCTCACCCACCTCACCACTCTCGCCCCGAAGTGCGACCCTCTCCCCGATTCCCCCGCCGAGTCCTGAGTCCGCCGGTCGGTCTCGGTCGCGAAACCGTGGATACTCGCTCCGTCGCACCATATTTAATAAGACCATCAACTCATCGGAGAAGGATGACCTCGCCCTGGCTGAGCTGGGTGAGGTCAAGGAACCTTCGTCTAATGTGACTCCCGCCCAGGCTCCGGCTGCTGAGACACTCACTGCCGCCGATGAGAAGCATCCTTTGAGCGTCGCGCCGACGGCCACGCTCGACTCGACGCATAAGGAGGATGCTTCCCCTTATGTCTCCTCTGAACCTTCAGAGAAAGGTCTCAAGGAACAGTTCTCCGTGTCTGTGGCCCATGAGAAGTGGCTCCAGAAAAGGCGACTACTGCAGTGGCTGTTGCGCGTTTCCAGGCTGTTATGACCTCTATCCAGAAATTTATTCTGCGCATCAAGGATATCCCACCTACTAAGGATGGGCGTCACATTGACCTAAATCCGTCTATGGTGGGTTCCATGATCGACGAGCGCACCCAGAAGCCTTATATCGGTAACTACATTCGCTCGAGTCGTTACAGTCTCTGGAGTTTCTTCCCCGCCAATTCTTCGCCCAGTTCACCAAAGTCGCCAACTTCTACTTCTTAATTGTAGCCATCCTGCAGATGATCCCTGGCCTGAGTACGACTGGAACATACACAACCATCGTTCCGCTTTTGATCTTCGTTGGTATCTCGATGGGCAAGGAAGGATTTGACGACTGGCGCCGGTATCGTTTGGACAAGGAAGAGAACAATCGGGATGCTTGGGTGCTCCGCCAAGGCCACGGAACGATCCAGGACGGCGCCTCCATGATAAGCAACGCTCAAGATTGGGAGCGAATCAAGTGTGAGGACATTCGTGTCGGCGACGTTATCAAACTTGAGCGCGACCAGCCGATTCCGGCTGATATTGCTCTCCTCCACGCCAGCGGACCCAACGGCGTCGCTTACATTGAGACTATGGCTCTCGACGGTGAGACAAATTTGAAAAATAAGCAGCCTTGCCAGCCTGTATCCAAGGTTTGCTCGACTGTGGAGGACATCAATAGCAACTCCTTGCACTTTGTCGTTGAGGACCCCAACTTGGATCTCTATAAGTTCGACGGTCACGTCAGCGTCAATGGCCAGGAGAAACTGCCCTTGACTAACAACGAGATCGTTTACCGTGGCAGCATCCTTCGCAACACCGACCGCGCTCTGGGTATGGTAATTTATACTGGCGAAGAGTGCAAGATCCGCATGAACGCCAACAAGAACCCGCGAATTAAGAGGCCCGCTCTCCAGGACAAGGTCAATCGCGTGGTCATGTTGATTGTGGTGTTGGTCGTTATTCTGGCCGTTATCTGCACCGTGTCCTACAAGTACTGGTCTCAGGACGTGGAGCAACATTCTTGGTACCTTGAAGATGCTAGTGTTTCCTACGGGCCAATCTTCACTTCGTTCCTGATCATGTTCAACACCATGATTCCCATCTCCCTGTACGTGAGTATGGAAATCGTCAAAGTTGCCCAGATGCTGCTTCTCAATGATATCGATATGTACGATCCCGAAACCGACACCCCGCTCGAGGCGCGCACATCCACTATCAACGAGGAGCTCGGTCAAGTCAGCTACATCTTCTCAGACAAGACTGGTACCCTGACAAATAACTCCATGCGCTTCCGCAAGATGAGTGTGGCCGGAACCGCGTGGTTGCACGACGCCGACCTTCAGGAAGAAGCTGCTCGGGCAGGCGACCACACCAAGTTGATCCACAAGAAGCGAAGTACAAAGGGGAAAAAGGCTATGGGCCGCAAGTCTAATGTTTCCGAGGCTCAGATGCCCCGTCCGTCGAATGTGTCAGGGCCTCTTGATGCTCCCCGTCAGTCTGGCCGGTCGGCTACTACATACCGCACCGAAGAGATGCTCGAATATATCCAGCGCAAGCCGTACACCATCTTTGCCCGAAAGGCGAAATTGTTCATTCTGTCTATGGCCCTGTGCCACACTTGCATTCCTGAAGAAGACGCGAACGGAAACACCACTTTCCAGGCTTCCTCCCCGGATGAGTTAGCTCTTGTTCTTGCAGCCCAGGAACTCGGATATCTCGTCGTGGATCGCCAATCAAACACGTTGACTATCCGCACACAACCAAACGGACCGGACGAAGCCACCAGTGACGAAGTCTACGAGGTCATGGACGTGATCGAATTCTCAAGTGCGCGAAAGCGCATGTCAGTTGTCGTGCGCATGCCCGACCAGCGCATTTGCCTATTCTGCAAAGGTGCCGACACCACACTGATGCGTCTCCTGAAGCAAGCCGACCTGGCACATGAGAAAGCGACCGAGATCGAGCGTCGTGCAAGCAGACGCAAGAATGCAGAGATGAACCAAGTCATCCGACGCAACAGCGAGCACCACAGCCGGAAGAACAGTGGTGCTCGGAGCAGTATGACCCGGCCGAGCTTCAACCGTCGACGTTCGTCAATCACTGGCCAGCAGGGCTCGGCTCTTCGAGCTAGTATCGATGTTTGGCTGCGCGACCGGGAGACGGATGGTGGTATGCGATACAGAGAGGCTGATAGTGAGTATTACAGCCCTCGGCCTTCGGCGCAGATGGGTAGACCCTCAGCTGCGATCTCGGACTCTGGAAGCTCCACGAATGGCGAAGACGATGAGGATCTTGTGGAGGAGGCACTGGTCGTCAACGAGGCGGCTATTTTCGAGCGCTGCTTCCAGCATCTGAATGACTTTGCCACTGACGGCCTGCGGACTTTGTTGTATGGTCACCGGTTTTTGGATGAAGCGACCTACACGAACTGGAAGACTGCCTACAACGAGGCTTGCACTAGCATCGTTGACCGACAGCAGAAAATTGAGGACGCCGGCGAGCAGATTGAGCAGCAGCTGGAGCTTACTGGTGCCACTGCTATTGAGGATAAGCTGCAAAAGGGCGTCCCGGAGGCTATTGACAAACTGCGACGAGCCAATATCAAGATGTGGATGTTAACTGGCGACAAGCGGGAGACTGCTATTAATGTTGGCCACTCGTGTCGTCTTGTCAAGGAGTACTCGACATTGACTATTCTGGATCATGAGAATGGCGACGTTGAGCAATCGATCGCGCATCTTATCGGGGGAGATTACCCGTGGCCGTGTTGCACATTCCGTGGTCGTGGTTGATGGTCAGACATTGTCGTTGATCGAAGCGAATGAGGTGGTCCGCGAACAGTTCTTCCAGCTGGCTGTCAAGGTAGACTCGGTTATCTGTTGCCGCGCGAGCCCGAAGCAAAAAGCGTTCTTGGTGAGATCGATCCGCAAACAGCTCACCGACGCAATCACGCTTGCCATTGGAGATGGCGCCAACGATATCGCCATGATCCAGGAGGCCCATGTGGGTATTGGAATCACTGGGAAGGAGGGATTGCAGGCAGCACGTATTTCGGACTACTCGATTGCGCAGTTCCGCTTCCTTCTCAAGCTGCTTCTGGTGCACGGCCGTTGGAACTACCTGCGTGCCTGCAAGTATACACTCGGCACGTTCTGGAAGGAAATGCTGTTCTATCTGACTCAAGCGCTGTATCAGCGCTGGAACGGCTACACTGGAACTAGTTTGTACGAGCCGTGGAGTCTAAGTATGTTCAACACGCTGTTCACCTCGCTCGCTGTCATCTTCCTGGGTATCTTCACCAAAGACCTCTCCGCATCGACACTGTTGGCCGTGCCTGAGCTCTACACCAAGGGTCAAAGACATGGCGGCTTCAATATACGGCTATACTTGGGTTGGTCATTCATGGGGACCTGCGGAGCGGTGATAATTTTCTTCACGATGTGGAGTCTCTATGGCCTGGCAAGAGTGAACCCCAGCGACAACGACATCTTCTCCCTGGGTTTGCTCACCTACTCTGCGTGCATCATTGTCATCAACATGAAGCTCCAAGTCCTGGAAGTCCACAACAAAACCTACCTGTCGCTAATCGTAGTGATAATCTCCGTTGGCGGCTGGTTCATGTGGGATCTGATCCTCGACCGCGAATACACAATGTCCTCCGGCAAAGGCATCTACTTCCTCCCCTCCAACTTCATCCATCACTCCGGCCACAACCTCCTCTTCTGGACCGTCCTCTTCCTCTCTGTCTCAGCAGTCCTCCTCTTCGAGTTCACAGTCTCAACTCTCCGCGCGTTCTTCTTCCCAACAGACGTCGACATCTTCCAAGAATACGAACAAGACCTCGACATCCGCAAGCGTTTCGAAGAAGCAGCAGCCTCAGAACTCCAGCAGGGCTGGGACCATGGCACCAAGAGATCAAGCTTCGAGATCGCCCGGGAAAACGCGGAGAAGGCTGAAATGGATGCCCGCGAACGACAGGTTCGAGAACTGCTCGCCCGTCCCCGTGTCATGGATACGAAGGAACTCGAGGTCGATACCGCCAGCGCGACGGTTAGCCATAATAGCAGCGTCCCGAGTCACAATGCTGAGACGGACCGTGGTCGCCAGTCTGGACTCCTCTGTCCCGAAGACGCTAATGGGCGTCGGCGTTCTGTTGAGATCCAGGAGCTCTTCAGTAAGGGCTATGGTGCTGTGCGCAAGGGTCAGCTCAAATGATTCAAGATTCAAGATTCGATTCGTATATGTATAACGGGTTTTCCCCTGCTTTCTTTTTTATTTTGACTGTCTTCTCTCATAGCGATTGCATCTGCGAGTCCTGTCCGCTCACTTATCATATGATCCCTTCGGGCATCGAAAGGCGTTGGTTTGATTTTCGAATTGGGATTGTCCAATTCCGTGGTCTCTCTTTTCTTATTGTTCGCTGTTCGGTCTGTTGCACAGTCGCCCGTCAGTTCCAAGATACCAAGATACCCCGACTCACATTGTTGGCAGTCTGGCTTTTTTTTTCTCTTTCGCGTTACATATCGGGTTCTATTGCATACGTGTGATTCCCCTTTTCTTTTTACGGTTGAGGTGCAGTACATATTTCTTGCCTCGCGTTATTTTTAATTCAGAGATTTGACAGATGTTTTCTTATACATGTCTAATGCACTCGCTATGCATCATAAATTATCATCAACAGTTATACGCCATTTGAGGCCTCATATCCAAGCGACCGAATCCCTATCCGGTCCAATGTGCACAATATCATCTTCGGAGTCATGTAGCAAGGGTCGAAAGACAATTTCCCCTTGATCCCATGATTCCTGACTCTTACCCTTCCTCCAAATCACCGGGACCCTACCAAGATCCTTACAGTTCATCTGCTCAACATACTCCGCAAAACCCCTCCCACCCCTAGAAGCCACAACCAATGCTCGATTATCCTGATAATCAAAAGCCGGGAGATCCTTCCACCATCGCATTCGAATGCCCTCCCCGATAACCAGAAGCGCGATCAACCCCGTGATCACCGCACTGGCAATAATGTAAGCCCGCGAGCCGATGCGTAAAGTAGACACCTCAACCCGTACGGGGGCGGACTTCCTGAATCTACCGACCACCAATTGAGCCGACGCATACCCACCAAGGATATCGTCAACGAGGGACGTAACTGCATTCTCCATTCCCTTCATCACAATCTGCATCTCCGATAGGTCCCCGCCAGCAACGGAAGTGCGATAATCACTAATGCTAGCATTGAACGCATCCCCAAGGGTCGAGCGATAGTAACTAGTCAGATCGTTGGAGATGAGTTCGAGTTGTCGCATGACGATGTGGGTTATATTGTGATGGGGGTCGATATCATGGACCGGATCCACGGATCTCACTTTGCTAACGCTGATATTCCGTCCCTGGATATCAACCGAGACATTGAATAATGCCGGGTTGAATGTGACGGCACACTGGACCTTATCCAGATTCTTGTAGTACCTCCCTGCCGCGATGGCCATGTATCGCTTCGCACTGTATTCGGTGGGATCCGCCGCCACCCCTAACGCAACTATTGCATCGTCGCCTCGACCAACGTAGACCGAGTACTCCGGTGCGCTGGGTTTGCTATCGGGGAGTAAACCCCGGGCTGCGTGGAGGGTTGGTTGTGGAAGGTCTTGGAGTACAAACATCGAGCTTGTATTGTATATGCAGTCGACCGAGGCGTCGAGGCCGACTTCGTTGAAGGTATAGTTTCTGACGTGGGGTATGGCGACGAGATTATCGTCGGAGAGACCGGCGCTTGCGCCAATTCCGTAAGATCGGCCGTGGTAGTTGTAGCGGGTGTTGTCCATTTTGGGGTGGTTGCGGACGCCGCCGTCGGTTGGCGAGGCGGAGTTCATGGAGGATAGTAGTGAGCCTAGTGAGCCCATGCCTACTGAGTAGGTGAAGTACCCCTTTGCCTCGCGAATGGATAGGCCGTTCCTGTCGATCTCGGAGGGGTATTCCTTGATTAGACTGATATTGGACCAATCTGGAATAGATAGGGTAGAGTGTTGGATGCCGATGGCGTTTGCGGGTGTCAAAGCGCCGGTCCATAGTGCTGATATGATAGCAGATAGATTGCCGAGAAGAACCGTGATGGCAATCATCCAGAAAGGTAGACAGAAGTTGTTTGTTGGAGTGGATAGTGCTGACCAGAAGCCAAGCGTGTCTAGGGAGACTGGGGCTTGTGCGAATCGAATGCGAGTTGTTAAGTTGATTAGGCGACAGAGTGCGAAGACTTCGATGGCTGCTAGGATTGCGCCGAAGATCTGGACTGCTGTCTGGATAGATGTTCGATTTGTATTCACAAAAGCGTATAGGTTGTCTGGAAGATACCAGGTGGAAACATCGGTATATAATACGAGAGCACTCAGTGTTAAGGGGATAATGAGGAGGACAAATAGAAAATGCTCGATCCAGGAGTTTGATGGGGTGCTTTTCGATGAGACTATTAAGTGTTTGGGCTCATCGAGGTGTCCTTTTTGTCGCATGATGGAGATATATTAAAGGATGTATAATAGTAAAGGAAGAAAGAGTCACGCTTAGATTCCGTCGAGACAGAGATGCATTGGGTATTTAGACTCAGTCCAACTTGGAATCGAACATCCTAAAGATAGTATTCGTTGTTACTGCATATATGAAACAACACTAACCATTCTATATGTTCGCACTGTTCAAAACATGGCGGTTAATGAAGGGCATCTCTAGATCCTCGTCTCCCATTGGTGACGCCCTCTCCCGAGACCCCAGTTGCCGCCACGCTAGTCAATCCCAGCGCGTAGGGAAAATGTAGTCACAGTGAAGGAAATTTCAAAGGCTGCATGATATACGATCTCTATGAAGCAATGAAGCAAGGAGGAAAGGTTGTATTTGGCGAAGTTAGCTGACATTGGGTAACTATTCCATATGTTAGAGGCCTTGTTTATCAGGCTACAATCACCATTTTGCTTCATGACATGGGAGGATTAGAATCCAAGACAGCTGCCAGTCCATTAAATGTCATCTCGAATAATATAAAATAATATAAAGGAAAGGAACTTGACAAGCACCACCATGGAAACCGTCACGTGGCGTTATCACCGGCCTTCTTTTTGCCGTTGACCCATTCTCTTTCTCTTCATCCTGATAGGTCGACTTTCTCGGAAAAAAACATCTCTCCAACATCCTTATCAACAAGCGAGAGAGGATATGCCCTCGGGAGGTTTGTGAAATATACACCGAGTACACCGAGAAAATGCGGCTCTGACGATCCTAGGCCCGGCTTGTATAACATGCCGTGAAAAGTGTCGCAAATGCGACCGCACAAAACCCGTTTGTCAGAGATGCATTACCAAAGGCCTTGAGTGCAAAGGATATCCGGACAAGTTCCGTTTTGCCGGGATAGCAACCCGGGGCAAGTGGAAGAACAGGGCGGTCCCTACTGTGAGCCGTGACCATGCTGTCCGGACTCAACCGGGCACCGGAACTGATCATCCAGATACCAGCCATGAAGAATCTGAATCTGATCAACAGCATCCAAGTGCTTTGCCCTCTTGCGAGGATCGGAATATTGAATGGCTGCCTATTCTCGACCATCCATGGCCACAGTCGGAAGGGCGAGCCGTGGAGTTGGATGATTTATTAATGCTAGAACGGACGGAGCTGTTGTTGGCACATTGTGTGTTTGTTTTATCCTGAGTGTCGGATTACCCTTAACTGACTGCAGAATATTTACTTAGATGACCAGGTGATATGTCCACATCAAATCGCTCTTCCAGCTGGCGCGGACAACCCATATCAAGTTTATATTCTGCCGCTAGCATACGAACAAATTGGCGTGCTTTATGCCGTTCTAGGTCTTACCGCATGCCATATGGGAATAGGAAAAGAAGATGCATATCTGCGAGAGACACTGGCCGTTGAATATCGAGTCAGAGCTATACGCTGTCTTGGAGAAACTCTCCGAAATGGGATATCTGGCGAGCTGGATGAAAATGAACGTGATGGTATTTTCGTTATTATTCAGATACTGTTACTCCAGGATGTGAGTTGACAATCTTGCGTTTTTATGTCTGATGTTAACACAGGACTAATGAATCTGAAGATTTTCGAATCGGGCATATCCACCCACGGAGTTCATATTACGGGTGCCCTATCGATTTGCAACCAGTTGCGCTTGCCTGATACCATATCCAGAGAGAATGAAAGAACAATATTTTTCTTAGGAAATCTAGCATGGCAAGTTCTCTCATCTCATTTTCAGTTTCTCCTAGTCCTGACGCATATCCTACTAGGCTGGACATCATCCGCTCACTCGCAGACCCACGACGACTATGCTTTTCCCCCGAGCTTCGTGCAGCCGTAGCCACTTTAAGCGACTTGAAATTCGAGCGGGTCAATGGCTGCCCACGCGAGATATTCTTAATAACAGGCAACGTCATAGAGTATGCCAAGGCGCATGCAACGGGCAAGATGGAAACAGCAGAATACGAGCGGCTTCTCAATGCCTGCCGCTATGAGTTGTACTCCTGGCGTTTGAAACCTGACAGATATCCAAACGACAATCCCCGCTGGCCTGCAGTTGCTGAGGCATTCCGTCACGCATGCATACTGCATACATCTCGCTTGCTGGATATGGCTCAACCGGCCGAAGCGCCAATAATACAAAATTCGGTGACAGCAATCTTGGACTCCCTAGCGGAAATCCCTGCAGACTGTCGTCTGATCGAGTTAGTGGTTATGCCGATTTTTATGGCTGGGACTGATGCTTTGTCCCCGTACGCTCGGCATTATGTCCTTCTGCGATTCGACCATATCCGGTCTCATGGTGGTGTCACTAGCCAAATGTCGGTTTCTCTACTTAAATCTGTTTGGGATGCTCGAGGTAGACAGGCCAAACATGATAGCAGCAACATTCCGTGGGTGTGGTTTGTGAGTTACCTTCTTTATAGGATCTTGATATTTTGCTGACTTCTGCAGACTCGCGACTCAGGATCGGAGAGGCAACATGACTATCTTATTATATAAATAATAGAATTTTGTATGTTTAGTCTATAAAGTCTTTCAGATATGAATTTATAGATTTGATTTAGTAATTATGTAAAAAATCTCTTGGTAGTTCAATTAAGATGATTATTCTATCCCTTCTACCGGCAAAGTGGCTTGTTCACCTGGACTGGACATGGATGTATCCCTGGCCTATGGCAGTGTATAGCCGCCAGTGCGCCATATGGTACTTTTCCATGTTAAATTTTGACTGTCATACGCCAGTTTACTATTACCTACAAATTGGGGGCTAATGATTAATTCCCAAAATATCAACTTCTATAGGGTCGATTTCTACAATAACCCAATTCCTATAATAATAATAATTGGCCGCTTATACAGCTGTAGTCTTCTTAGTGATCTTCTTACGTAGTCCTCCCCAATAGTCTTTTTAGATATCTTTTTAGTGGTCTTTTTAGTGGTCTTTTTAGTGGTCTTTTTAGTGGTCTCCTTAGATATTTAGTTATATAGATGTATTCTCTCCCCCTAACTGGAAAAGGGCAAAAAAAATGGCTTAATTTATAAACGGGAACTTCCCTATATATAACTTCGAAATTTCAACATCTACGATATCTCGATTTATGTAGTGTCAATTTCTATCAATATCTATGGTTAATAAGATACACATATACTAGATTTATGAAATGTTCTGCGAAATACAATATGGCGCACTGGCGGCTATACACTGCCGTACCTGGCCTGTAGATCCTTTGCCTTTCGAGGTAGTTTTGCGTTACAGAGTACTCTATGAGACACTGGAATTTTTTCATAGGTGGAAATACTATGCTGGCGGTTGAGTATCTGGATCAACCCGCGCGTTGAGGATTGGTTTGATCTCGCATATTTGTTTCCGGGAGTAAAATGACTGCCGAGAACTAGATATCCTTTACATCCTTTCATTGTCAAGTCCTGCCAAGTCGAGAACTGGAAAAGTAAAGGCATCGTCCTTTAATGGTTGCATATATTATCCGAGTCGATGTTGTGGTAGCACGTAAGATGTCGAGGGATTGCGTCTTAGCACGTAACCTTGACAAACTCAACTCTGCCAGCAAAAGAAATTCGAGACTTTCAATGTTTTCTTGGCCTTGAAGATAGGCTGAGCACTAGCAAGGCTGGTGCATCCTTTTCCAAGTGAGCTTGCGTGAATCAAGGCAAATTGCGTGAGTATTGCGCAAGACTACCCCGAAGAATCGCCATGTTCGTGTGCTAGGGACCCGCTTTGTAAACCTATAGGAGGTAATCAAGATTAGTGTCGGATTTAACGACTATCTCTCTCCTCAACTGCCGGTCATCAGGGCGGGATGGTTGTAGGATCTGTCAGTGACGCGATTATCAGGTCCGCTGAGGACATATTTCACCAGTTGTATAAGTAAGTAAAATTGCCGTTATTCATTCACACCAAGGACCTTGTACAGTTATATAATAGACTGCACAAGGCTTCCCGGTATCAAACAACTCCCAAAGCAAGATGGGAACCGCGGATGATTCTCGACAAGTGACGACCGCTTCGGTGTACAGCATAGATGCGGAGAATCAGACTAACACCCAGAGAGATGATGTAAAGCATGTCAGGTCATGGAAAAGTTATATATGGGATACATGGGAACTTCCACCAGATCAACGCTGGATGCTTTTCAAAGTAGATGCTTACGTCCTCACGTTCGCATCTCTCGGATATTTCTTGAAGAATATCGACCAAACAAATGTCAACAATGCCTTTCTCAGTGGCATGAAAGAGGATCTCGGGATGTATGGCGATCAACTAGTCACTAGTACGTGCATTCGCTCTCGTCCGACTCGTTTTGTCCTTACGTGAAAATCCGGGGGATTTGCTAACGACGACTCTTACAGGCACGTCTATCTGGACTGTGGGATACGTTATCGGCCAAATCCCGTCCAACTTGTTGTTAACCAGAGTCTCGCCTCGATGGGTCATCCCCTCGCTAGAGGTAGGATGGGGACTCGCGACAATCTGTACATCAAGCGTCAAATCGTATCAAGCTCTGTATGCTTTGCGCTTCCTCGTCGGATTCTTTGAGTATGTCCCTATCAATATTTTATCTACTATCAGTGGCCAGCTACTGACGCCGTTATAGATCAGGATTTTACCCCGGCATCCATTACATGCTGGGATCATGGTACACGCCACGAGAAATTGGAAAGCGGGCTATGATCTTCTGGCTCGCTGGTTCGGTTGGCACCTTGTTCAGCGGTTTCCTCCAGGCTGCTGCTTATACAAACTTGCATGGGACAAATGGTTACGCTGGATGTATGTGACCGCAATCCTCCAGATTCTCCCTTCCTCACCTTTTGGGCTCGATCATCGCTTTATCTCAGCCCAAACGAAAACAAAGGAAACAACTGCTGACAGATGAGAATAGGGCGCTGGCTATTCATTATCGACGGTATTATCACCCTACCGCTTGCGCTCGCTGGGTACATATTCTTCCCCAACCTACCGCAAAGCGGCAAAAAGACATGGTGGACGACAGAAGAAGAGCATCTTTTGTCAATCAAGAGAATGGAGAATATTGGACGTGCTGGCAAGAAGCCTTGGACTAAGGCAAAGGTGAAAGGTATTCTGCTGAGCTGGCATACTTATCTTCTTCGTAAGTCGTCCTTCACACCTTTCACGCCTTTCCCGTCTTAGAAATATTCTTAGAAATATACTGACAATGTCCCACAGCATTGCTATACATTCTTTGGAACAATGGCATCCCTCAACCCGCTATGGGCTATTGGCTGAAGAGTTTTAATGCCGACCCTGCTCCTCTCCCCGGAACAACTTACACTGTCGCTCAGATTAATAATTGTGAGTTCGACTTTAGGTTCTACGTCCTAATGAACTTAGCTAATTTATATACAAGTACCTCTCCCTACTACCGGTGTTCTCATCGTCATGGCATTGGCCTGGGGTTGGCTGTCTGATGGGCCATGTCGTGGCGCTCGCTGGCCATTCATTTACATCGGCGCCTTTACGACTGTAAGTCAGGAGAGGTTATATCGGCTAAGTGACCTCCATACTACGGTAGCTAACAGCTGCCTCTATTCCACAGATCATTTTCGCCTCCCTCATGATGAAGATGCCCTTCTACACAAATATCAAGGGCCGTATGGTCATTTATTGGCTGAGTAATATTGGCGTAAGTTTATCGTCTTGTGAAGTATTCCATCATCACATCTTGACAGTGTTTTTAGGGTGGTGCCGGTCCTTTAATATTAAGTTGGATCAACGAGATCTGCTCCAATGACACAGAGAAGCGAGCGTTGCTTGTTGCAATGGCAAATGACCTTGCCTATGTTGTGCAGGCTGTTGTGAGTCCCATAATCTATTCCTCTGCCTCGGGTACATACTAACAAGCTTGAACGAAGGCTCCCAACTTTATGTGGAAAACAACAGCATTCCCCCGCGCTCCCAAGGGATATACTTGGTCAATCGTACTTCAAATACTACTCAGTAAGAACCATTTCTCTATGACTATGGGTCTCGTTTCCCGCTAATAATGTTTTCCTAGTATTGGGCACCGCAACTGTTCAATTTCTTTTGTGGCGCGATAAGAGAAAAAGCAGCAAAGGCAGAGGGGAGTCTCCCAGCTATTGAACCCGTCGAGTCATCGTCTATAGAGGGAGATACATCTGTGGGTTCTACAGAAGATGATGGCAAAGTGGCCAGCCCTTCCCGAGTCAAAAATGTTGGTCTGGGTTAGAGGATATGGTTCGCTGAAGGCACTGTTGCTATAGTTCTATGATAGTTGGCGTCGACAAGGCATCAGATTCATGTTTCCGCCTTACGAATCAGGCCAGAACATTATTTGTCCGACATCTTTCCCTACAAGAAACTAACAAGCTCAAGTATTCCAAGGTTTACACCTACCACGCCAAGAAATGATTATCCAGATATCCCCCGAATCCATCGCATCTCAGCTGGTAAAATCCGTGCGAATCGGGAATAGCGTCCTTTGCCCCTCTCTGCGAGTTATGATCGCGGATGAAGGCTCGTGCGCCAAGTCTTTGCAGCATTGCCTTTAAAAGGGTTGGAATCTGACTGATCGCGATCAAAAGTCTTCTAGGGATTGCCTAGATGGTCACCTGGGCAATGTTACACCCTTAGTTAATCGAGGTCATGGAGGAGGTTACCTATCTAGGTATCTCTAGGTATCCCCCACAGCAGCTTCATGGCAAATCTCGTGACGATCTTGGACGAGGCGCATATGCAAGCCGATCGAGAAATGTATATTAGCCGAATCAGCGCTTGCCGCTAATTCCACTTATAAGGGTACCCTGCCCCTCGTGGCGTCAAAGCTCCCCTGCTTCCCTTTCTCTCTTAACTAACTGCGCCAGCATCTTCTCCCTTACCCGGAATCAAGAGGAATTCAGAGAAATATTACCCCTCGCTGCCGATGGATTCGCAATATTCCCCGGGGTCAATTGTCCCTACAGGTACAGCGGGCAAGGACAAACACTCGACGAACTCGTTGCTGGCGGAGGAAAGATCGATTCGAAATGGAGACCAAGATATCCTGCAGGGAGAGAAGGTGGACGAGGTTCTTGCTGCCAAGATGACGCTTATCAATGATGTGGGAAATCAATATCCGCGCACCGTGATTGAGACATGCAATTAACTCGAGGCCCTTTGTCCTCCTCTACAGACCATTGATGAGATTGGTTTCACGCCTCACCACTGGAAACTATTTTGCCTAAACGGATTCGGATATGCTGTTGACTCGCTCATTCTCTTGATTCAGTCCATTATCTCAACCCAGGCCAGGTTGGAGTTCAACCCATCATATTCCACAGGGCTCACCATCGCGGTTTATGTCGGCATGTTGGTGGGTGCAATTTTCTGGGGCTTTTCGGCAGATATTATCGGCCGCCGGTTCGCGTTCAACTTCTCCCTGCTTGTTTCATCGGTATTCACTATCGTCGCGGGAGCTGCTCCCTCTTGGGTCACCCTGGGTTTGTTTATCTGCTTGAGCGCCTTCGGTGCTGGGGGAAACTTGGTTCTGGATACCACAGTTTTTCTGGAATACCTTCCCAGCAAGGACCAGTGGCTTTTGACCCTCATGGCGGCGTGGTGGGGTGAGATTACGCTCCCAAGTAAACATCCTGTCGAAAGTCTGAACTGACCCCAGTATCTAGGTCTGGGTCAGCTTATCGCAGGTCTCTTTGCCTGGGCCTTTCTTCCCGACTTCTCCTGTAGCGATGCAGCTACATGTACTCGTGAAAATAACCAGGGATGGCGTTATGTCTGGTACACAAGCGGCGCCTTTGTGTTCGTTCTCTCCATCCTCCGCTTGACAATCATCCGCCTTGAAGAAACCCCCAAGTTCCTGATTTCCGAGGGCAAAGACGAGCAGGCAGTACACGTCCTACGCAGTATTGCCGATCGACACAACCGCCCATGCAGTCTCACTATCGAGCGGCTTCAGGCATGTGGACAAATCGCTCATGGAGGAGCCCCAGGAGCTGGTTGGTTGGCGCGGCTAATCTCCCCAAGCGAAGTACTTTTCCATCTCCGTGGACTCTTCGCAACCCGCAAAATGGCACTATCGACGACCCTGGTCTGGCTCTCATGGCTCCTCATCGGCCTCGCGTATCCACTGTACAACGTGTTCCTCCCAACCTATCTTGCGTCGCGGGGCGCAATGTTTGGAGAGACTAGCCCGTATATCACCTGGCGGAACTATGCCATCAACAATACCTGTGGCATCTTCGGTCCTGTGTTAGCGGGATTCATGTGTCGCTCGCCCTGGTTTTGGGGCCGCCGAGGAACCATGATCATCGGAGCTGTGGTCACAATGGTTTTCTTTTTCTGCTATACGCAAGTGCGCACTGCGAGCCAGAATCTGGGCTTTACATGTGCTATTTCTTTCTGCTTGAATATTTACTATGGTACACTCTATGCTTACACCCCCGAGGTATGTGCTTGCCCACTCTGATTAGCTCTGTCATTCTGTATCTCATTGCTCGATAGGTCTTCCCCTCCGCCCACCGGGGCACAGGCAACGGTGTTGCTATTGGGCTCAATCGGATCATGGGAATCATCAGTGCCGTTGTTGGCCAGGCTGCAAATGTGAGGATTCGTTCTTTGCTCTCCTGGGGAAAATACTTACATTGGTAACAGACCAGCACGCCTGTGCCAATCTACATATGCGCAGCCCTTTACATTGTGATGGCGATCATTGCCGGAGCCTTGCCATTTGAACCGTATGGCCGACGAAGCAGCTGAAGGCTCAGCTAGGCAGGATATCGGTCCCCATCTCATTGATATCTAAAACATCTCATAATTATTCACCCTCACACTACTACATGTTATTTATACATAATCTGGTAACCCAGATAGAGCAAAGTGTTAATGCTAATTGAACTGGAGGTCAAGTTCGAACTTCTTGTGTGGGATATTTTATTCTACATGTTCTTCTCTGAAAAGGCTAAAGATGACATCTCGAATAATAGCCCTGTTTCATTGACTTCTCATGTCTTGTTTTGCGCCTCGGCTGACCACTTGGATATTTTCCTTGTACGAAACGTCAGATGGCCTCTTCGTTTTCACATCAGTCGTTGGGTATCAGTAACAGTTCTCCATGCAGTCAGCGACGAAATCCGCTCATCTCTCCATAGCCTTCGCCGCCATTTCTCTCGCGCCATTCTCCCATCGATCCCACCCCAGCGTAAGACTTAACGTGTCTCTCCACAAATCCTCAGGATCACTTCCAGGCGGCAACGCCCTACCATTCCCAACTTTCCCATTAATCTTCCCTTTCACAAACCGCATATGCCAAGGAATAACCCCAACCTTCTCAAACCCCATCCTCTGCGCAAGCCGAGAACTAGCAAGGTTCATCGTACTAGCCGACCAATGCACTCTGCGTAACCCAAGACCTCCATTCTCCGCGGACTTAAAGGCAAGACGTAGAGCGAGTCCAACGGCATTAGTCGCCACATGGGTCCGCTGGTACGGAGGCAGGATGACGATGAATCCAATCTCCGTACACAGGTTCGTTGGCGAGGTGCGGATAAAGCTCACTGTGCCGGCTAGTTCACCTTCGGGATCTTCTGAGGACGGCGGCCGTGTTTTGTCTATGATTGCAAAGGCGAAGGACTCTGGGTTGGAGAAGGATAGAATGTGGGTTGTGGAATTACTGTAGAAGAGGGACTTGAGTTCGGTTGCTGAGGTCGGGGGTAGTAGGGGCAAGTGTGTGTATATCTCTGGATGGGACGATGATATGCGGAAGAAGGTTTCACAGTGTTGCTCTGGGTTGAAGGGGACGAGTTTGACTCGTTCGTTTGATGTCTCTCCCACGTGGAATGGGAAGACGGAGAATGAAGCCATTCTACTCGATTGGATAATGCTGGGTTTGGGAAAACGGTTAGGTAGCTTGTTGAGTAGGTAAACCAGTGAGCAGATGCTTTTAGCCTGTTTTGCGTGATGGGTAAAGTTGCAAACCCGACTTGGCTTGGAGAGGTTGCGTTGTTTGGGGTGAAGTTGTGAGTGACTCACCCCGGTTCTTGGCAAAGGATCTATGGAGGACACTGACCTTTTTGTATAGGAAACCCTAGTCATTACTGGTGTCCAGTGGTAATACATGAATTACAATTATGATTTCAACAAAGGACCAGTTGGCTATGGCTTGGATACTAGCCTTCTGCCCAAGAGATGCAAGACTGAATACTTTCCAAGCATACTAGGTATAGGTGTTCTCCCGATTGTCTTAACTAGCTGTGGTGATAGGGAACGAAATGAATTTTAGATGCTAAAATCAGCCAGAAATACATGGTACGAGTTACAGCAGAATCTCCGGCAGAGAAACAGACGAAGAGATGCATCATCAAGTAAAGACTTCCCGAGTTGTAATAGAGAAATAATTGTATCATATCTATAAGAGTATAAGTTCCATCCAAGGAAATCGAATAAAATCAGGATAGCATAGCAATTCACGGACGACAATCACCAAATTCTTCGGCAATTGGAACCTTATAGGATCGGCATTTACGCCCGCGGATCCCAGGTAGCATCAATGTCGGCCAAAAGAGTCTCTCCCTCTTTTCCAAACACATCTGCGATACTGGCCAGCTTGAATGATGCCAGTTCAGCAGTCCCTTCCAGTAGCCAGTTGGTTCGCATCGTCATGCACGACCAGCAGACCGTGCGGGAAATCGGCATTCAGAGCAGTTCCAACTGCGGTTACACCATCTGTGTTGGTCACCCCGTCAATGCTTCCATCTGCCGAGGTTTGGATAGTGAAAGTCATGACATGCTCATGGGGAGCAGCACGGCGGTACACTGAGTACGCACTGACACCCTGGCAGGAGACAATGACGAATCCTTGCTCTGGTGTTTTGCCTGGCAGAAGCGTGACACCCTCGACATCGGCGTAAAGGGTACCATCGCCGGCACGCGCAACCAAGGTTCCGGTAGATGAGCCATCGGGCTCGGCGTCGTATCTCCACAGACCGTAGGGCTCCTCACCAAGGAAAATGAAGGAGTTTTCCTCATCAGCGACGCAGCCTTCGGGTTGACCACCGGAACCACCAGTGAATGTGCGGACGAGAGTGGTGGCTAGTGTTCCATTGGTCAAGGCAGTCAGCTCGTATTGAAGGTACTCGCCGGACTTCTCATTGACAAAGAGATACTGCTTGCCGCTGATGGGCGAGCGGTAGGTGCAGGAGCCGTAGACGGTGTAGTCGGTTTTCACAGGCTGCGAGCCACCGGGAATAGATTTCAGCGTTCCGTTGGAAGCGATTTCGAAGAGACTTGAAAGTAATGTTAGCCCAAGAAGAAACAAACAAAAAGGAAAACGAAAAAGAATGGATCTTGAATAACATACCACAGTGTGTCATCCTCCCGGCATGCCGCGTAGGCGAGGTCGACCTTGCGATCACCGATCTCGAAACCATAAATAACATCAACGTTGTTTGGCTCTCCAGCGGAAACTGTTTGAAGCAGATTGCCGGCAAGATCGAAAACAGCAAACCCAGCACCCAGCTCCGATTTGGTTGTGGTGATGATGGTGGACTGGTCGGCGCTCACGGGAGAAATCCAGATGGCAGGGTCATCACCGTCGCCACCGTTGGCATCAGTCTCATATTTGGGCTCAACTCCAACCCAGGAGCATTCAGGACCTGCCCAGGAACCCTCACATTCGCATTCGTTGGGTCCGACACACTTTCCATTGCCGGAGCAGGAGTTCGGGCATGTAAACTGTGTACAGTCTGTGCCTGTAAATCCGGTAAAGCACTCGAGCGAGCCATCTCCGTCCACAAAGCCATTCGCTTGAGGGCCCTGGAGGGAGGGATCAACATTCCGTGGGGAGTATGTAGTGTTTGGTTCGAGACCAAGCTCAGTGAAAACCGGCTCCAAGGAGCTAATACCATAGCCCTTGCTAGCATCAGTCTCAAGGGAGTAACCCAGAATTCCATCGGGATACTGAGTAGAAACACTCTGGTAAAGAGACAGACCAGCAACCTCAATATCTTCAGCACCGGTAAGGGTCAAGCTACCTTGGAGCTGCAGTTTCTGTGAATAAATATTGACAACACTGGACTGACCCACAAACAAGTAATCGGTCTCAGGCGCAACGTAAACGGCTAGTCCTGTCACCTCATCATCAACCTGTCCCAGGACCTGGATTTTGGGGGCCTTTGTTGATTCTGTGGCCTTGAAAGTGTAAACGCTGCTGTCCTCACCTGCCAGATAGACAGTACCATTGGTGGGAGAAACAGCACAAGAAGCTGACACGGGAACTTCAAATCTTTGGACCTAAATACTCTTTTAGCTTCCACGGTGTAGCAGAAGATATGGGTTGCGAAGCTTCTAACCTCAAGGATCTCAATGTCAGAGTCCTTCTCACGGACGAGGAATTGCCTCGCCTCTTTCTTTCCAAGCAGATAAAAGTAGTGTCCGCCACTGCTGGGGCTGCGCCATGTGCACAGAGAAGACCAGTCCCCGAGGGCTTTAATTTGCGCCGAGGGGATCTCAGTGGTGCCATCGATGTCAAAAACCCGAATGATCGAGTCAGGGGCAGCAATGGACACAATTAGATCCTTCTTCCCAACATCATACATCACACCAGCAACCTTGGTACGACCAGGCGTGCGGCTGGCGACTTCTTCCATATCAGTCAGACTGAAAGATCGAACGCCACCAGTAGCAGCGCCTCCATCGTTACCCACAAGCAGGGAGTTCTGGAAGGATGAGCCATAGTAAATGGCCGCCAGGTCGGAATCGACCTCGGCGGATTGTTTAGCGATTGGAAGGTTTGCGGTAGCAGCGGATGCAATATCAATGCCACTGAGGCAGAAGACAAGCCCCACTATAAGGGAGCGTGGCAACAGCATTTTGAAGGGGCTATAATAGTGAAGATGGGTGCGAAGATACTGGATTGTTAGAGTCAAGCCAATTATTTATACCTCAGCATCCGGGCGAAGAGTACTCCGTAGATTTCACTGATCCAATTGGTTATCGTAGCATTTCCTCGAATCGACCAAGAAGAGTCTTGGCTACTTGGCATGCTTAACTCGTGCCTGTCCCCACTGCTACCATTGGTCTTTGTGGATTTGACAGGCACATGCTAACTTGGACACTGTAATGAAAGATATTCCACAGCTTATTCCAATGTGCTTTTAATCAATGATATATGCAGGTACTTGAGCCCGTGCTAACTCCACAGTACGTTTGTGAATTAACGGCTCAGAAAAGATCAATAGATGAACAGTTTGTGTGTAATAGCTTCATTACGCTCTATGTATTATACCTAACTTATAATATTTCTAGATGGAAAACCTGGTGTACATTATAGATGCCAAAACGGGACTACTTATCACAATAGTCATATCTTCTTCCTGCATGTGATGGAGTACGGAGTACTCCATATTAAATTTGCACTCTGTGGGTCCTTTTGGCTTGTCGTTCGGGTCCTCCGATCGAATAATTCGAGACTTCTACGTTAGAAGTATGCGATTGAACGACCTTATTACTCCGTACTGTGGCTCATTGTTATGATCTCTGCATATGCACGATTGAGTTTTACTCCTCGATAGGGGGCGCAAACTTATAACATACCAATTGTAATCCGCGGATAGAAACGTGTCAAACACGAGGTAACTTCCCAAAAAAGCCACAGTCCTTAAAGTTCTCGCGGTAAACGTTCGGGGACTGGCCTGACTTATCAGATGCCAAAGTGGCTGCTTGAACAGAGATGATCGGCAGGGCGCGGAAATTAAGGGCTTCCGGAAATACTTCATGGAGAAGGGCCAAAGCTTCATAATTAATTTATTTTTGCCAGCATCTGCAAAAGAATACGTCTAGAAGCAGAACTATTACAAATTGTTTCTGTGTGAGAGCCATGCCGTGATCAGTTAGTTGACTATGTTGTTGTAGTGGGCCAACTTCAAGAGGAAGCAGAATACCATGCACTATTGCATTTAAAAAATAAAAAAATAAAAAAATAGCTTCTGTTAAGAGCAACCAGTAGCATTCTAAAAATAATGATTGTATCTCAATTCATTGTCCCGCGTCAAAAGAGGACAGCAAAATGTAAATGGTTGATTTCATGTGGTAGGGATAGTATATTAGCATCATGCTTATCACACACGGTATCAGGCATTATTTACTAGGGTAAATCAGTGTCTGATGCCAAAGGTGTTGCCACTATGAGTCCAACTCTTCAGGATCCAGGTGGGAGACAGCTATTTAAAACTTCGCAATACGTCCTTTGCTCCCCTATAAGACAGGAATGAAGAGAGGAGCCCCCAGGGCCGCCGAGAACAGAAAGGCTATTAGTGGAATGATAACATACCGAGCCTAAATATTTGTGACGAATTTGGGCGAGAGGCGGGTTTACATATGGTGGATGAGAGTATCGCCATATGAAAGTGCTAAATATGCACACGATTAATTAGCTCTAATCTTCTGTCTGCAATTTTATATACTACAGGCTAGCTACCCAATACATGTGGTCACCCAAAATTGCCAATCGCTTTGCCTGACTGTTCCTTGGATGCACTCATCGGCCACTTGTATGAATTCGAGCGCAGATTGAGACGATGACGGGGACGGTGGTGATCTGTCCTTCCTCTTTTGTCAATAAGCCAAAACGAATTCTAGAAAGGCCTTGGCGGTCATCTATTGCTATCGATGAAAGAAATAAAGTAGCTCCTGCCGGGAGTGGCTGGTTATTTATAGAATCCGGGGACCTTTTCTTTCTAAAACCAACACAGAGAAAGAAAATATTCGGCAAAGAGATGAAACACCTGTAAAGCACTATAGGACTTATCAATAATACGTCCCCGGGCTCATAGCCTGTTTTTGAAGATGGTACTGGCTAGTAGATAAGATCATGAGGGCGTGGAGTACGAAGTGCAAAACTGTTGTATTGCAAAGTACAAATAAGTATTTGTGAGAGAGGAAAGGAAGACTGCAGAAGTCCCCTTACAGAAAGTAGTCATATGGCTTTAGTCTAGTCGTGAGATTGAAGGAGCAACACTTGCATAATAGCGCCAAGGCAGTTTCGAAGTTGGTGATGGACACACAGACAAAGAATACAAAGACTTCTTGCGTCCAAATACGCTCTCAGGAACCCGTTAGTGTGGCTTTCCGCCGCCGATCAGCAGTGACAACGAAACAATGAAAGATGAACGTCTATCACATCATGCCCAGTACTGACTTTGAAAGAAGTTTATGGGGGCTAGCTGGGCGGAATCCTTAGCATGGGCCGCCTTGACAATGCTCTCCAAGATGGGCTTATTAGAGAACATCCTTAAATAGACCCGCTCCGCAAAAGACTGTGAAATATCGAATATTTTGTTTGGAGCTATCAACCGTGATCATGTTGAGCAGGACCACATCCCAGAAACTATTTCGCGCCATCTTTGTGGGGGTAGCTACCTGTTTAGGAGTTGCGACGTTACTGGAACTTCGAACAACGAACTCTTTCGGCGATTGTGATCATGGCCTTGCTGTTGCCGGGAAGCAAGTCAACTGGTCGCGATTTGCATACATCCAATATGCCACCGACCGGTCTTATTTATGCAACTCGGTCATGCTGTTTGAGACCCTCCACCGGCTTAAAAGCAAAGCTGATCGCATGTTGATGTACCCCTCCGAGTGGTCTGTATCTGAGGATGGTGATTCGAGTGAGAGCCGCATGCTTCGCTATGCACGAGACCATTACGGAGTTAAGCTCAAGCCAATCGAGATACAGATGAGGCCTGGGAGTGATGGTGAGTAACTTCTGGTCATGCGGTGCCGCTGTTAAAATCCAATTTGAAGCTGACTTTGCAATGTCTCCGTTAGTGGGATGGTCAAAGAGCTACACAAAACTACTTGTGTTTAACCTAACGGAATATGACCGGGTCCTTCACTTGGATTCAGACGCAACCGTTCTGCAGGTGTGTACAGTTATCATACACTTGGTTGTTACAAACGCGAACTGACCTGTATTCAGACCATGGACGAGTTATTCCTAGCGCCGTCCAGCCCCGTTGCCATGCCCTCGGCCTACTGGAAAAATCCGATAAAGGGTATTTTCACCTCTGCGGTCATGCTCGTCGAACCGTCTACAGCTGCCTTCAATCGCACGATGGATTCAATTTCCAGTGCCAACTCTAGCAACTTTGATATGGAGATTATGAACAACTTGTACAAGGATACTGCACTCACTATACCGCATCGGCCGTATATTCTTCTGGCTGGGGAATTCCGCTCCAAGAAACACCGGGCATATCTAGGGAATTCAAGAGAAAAATGGGATGCCGAGAATATCTTCAAAGAGGTTAAATATTTGCATTTCTCCGACTGGCCTGTGCCTAAGGTAGGTCAGACTTCTAAATGGGTATCGGTCGTCAATAACCCCTAGAGAAGCTAACTTCTTTCGGTAGCCATGGATTAAAGCTCTCCCAGGTTTGATTGAAGAATCACAGCCTCCCTGCGAGTTGAATCCGGCAACTGGTTATGAAGATGACTGTCGCGTCAAAAACCTTTGGTTGGGAATTTACGAGGACTTCAGGATCAGACGAGAGGTATGTAATATTCCTTGTCTTATCTATTCATTCATCGAGTTTACTAACTTTGGGTAGAATATATGTGACACTGCTGCAAGATATGGTAGCTACCATAGAGGACTCTTGTAGATTTGTTCAAGGCTATCGCACATTCCTGACCACGATATAGAATATATGTCGACTACCGAACGCTGGACGTTCAAAATCGTATATATGTTTGCCTGTACATTACCTCAATCAATGTGGTCGTATATCAGTGAAACTTTTAGACAAGGACATTCTGAGAAATCATGACTTCTACCCGGACGTGACCCTTTCATCAAACCAAATATAATGTCCGAGACGATCATTAAGTTCTCCGTTGTTAGATGACCCTACTGTGCGTAGCCGTATATTCCACTGACGAGGGAGGTGCTGCACTGGGCTCCGGTTATTCGGCTGAGATGGCGGAGAACAATTGAGGGGCATATCAATGAGGGGCAGTCTTACTGACTGACGGGTTTGTTGGTTGATAGCTGTATCATAATGTTCGCGTATGAGTTCCAGGGTTACCTGTCGTGTTCTTCGGCGTCTGATTGCTCAATAATGTTTGTTTGTGCTGTGGTCGGTCCTCGGACTCGAATGTCGTTCCGATACCCCTCTATCCTATCTCCAATGCATATGTGCAACCGGTACGAGCTGAAGTCAAAGCAGAACCCCGGGGTCATATTCTTCTTATCAATAAGCTCAGTCTCATGAATTGTTCAACCTATCACATCCACGCTGTAGTCAACGAACGTGGGTCCGACAAAGATTTCCTCTTTGGGATTAGCTTATCGCAGCTAAGTATGAACTTCAAGGTGTGCGACAAGGCGAGACTTGCCAATCACGGCGTTATGTATGGGCTATTTTTTTCCAGAATTAGTGTCCTACTTCTGCAATTCAAATCTTGGCTATGGCGGGGTCAGTCTATATATGACTCCTATCGGCCCAGCACAATACAGTCCCAGTTCAGATCAAACATCTTCAGTGATCACTTGATTCATCCTTTTTCATCCCTTTCCTTTCCATACAACAACCCTTCAGCGCAGTCCATACAATGGGTGACTATACACCAGATGTGGCACCAGTTTCAGTGCCTACCCCATCCGAGAAGCAGGTCGACTCCACTGGCCTCAAAGCATCTAGTGGAGTCCTTTACCACCAGTTGCGAAATGAGCCCTTGAACATTGTCGGTGGTCGAGGAAGCTACCTGATAACTGAGGATGGCCTGGAAATCCTGGATGCGACATGCGGTGCAGCTGTCTCCTGTCTTGGTCATAGCGACGAGCGTGTCCACGAAGCCATCTTGGACCAGCTAAAGAAAATCCCCTACTGCTATTCCATGTTTTTCACCAACAGTGCTGCGGAGAGTTTAGCAAAACTCCTGGTAGACTCCACTGGAGGCAAGATGTCTCGTGCCTACATTGTGAGCTCGGGTAAGAAACCCGTCCATGCTGAGCTAAGATTAGTTACTAAACCCATAATAGGTACCGAGGCTGTCGAGGCTGCTGTGAAGATGGCCATTCAGTATTTCACAGAGCTGCCCGTCCCTGAGCCTCAGCGGGTAAACATTATTTCTCGGAAGTCGTCCTACCACGGAAATACCCTCGGATCACTTGCTGTTGGGCACCATGCCTCCCGGCGGAGGATCTACGAAAGTCTTCTTTCGAAGAACATTCACCACGTGCCGCAATGCTACCCCTACCGCAGAATGAACACCAACGAAAGCACCGAAGACTATGTCGCGAGATTAGCCCAAGAACTGGAGGATGAATTCCAGAGACTTGGCCCGAACACTGTCTGTGCATTCGTCGCCGAGACAATGCCAGGTGCTGTGAGTACAACCCAATCCCGCCATGCTAAACATGCTAACTATTTCAATAGACACTTGGCTGCGTGCCCCCATTGCCCGGCTACCTCAAGGCACTAAAGGCCGTCTGCGAGCGACACGGGGCACTCTTCATCCTAGACGAAGTCATGTCTGGCATGGGCCGCACCGGAACCCTCCATGCCTGGGAGCAAGAAGACGTCGTTCCAGATCTCCAAACAATCGCCAAGGGACTCGGCGCCGGCTATGCCCCGATCGCCGGGTTACTCATCAACAAACACGTCGTCGATACTCTAAACAAGGGCACCGGCGCGTTCGTCCACAGTCAGACATACCAGGGACACCCGGTTGCCTGTGCGGCTGCATACAGGGTGCAGCAGATTATTCAAGAGGATAATCTGCTGCCGAACGTGCGGGCGATGGGAGAATATCTGGGTCAGCGTCTTCACGAGCGTTTGGATAGTCACCCTCACGTTGGTGATATTCGTGGCAGGGGATTATTCTGGGCTGTTAGTTTTCTTCTTGGTTGCTTTTAGTCCTTGCTAATATGGTTATAGATGGAATTTGTCCAGGATAAAGAGACGAAAGAGCCATATCCGCCTTCAAAGGCGCTTTCTCGGACTCTGCACGCGACAGGCCTCAAGCCTGCACATGCGATTTCGTTGATGCCGGGCAATGGTGGTATCGACGGTGCTAATGGTGACCATATTATTTTGGCGCCGCCTTACAATACTACCCGGGAGGAGATTGATTTGATAGTCGACCGAACTGTTCGGGTTATTCAGGAGGTTCTGGGATAGAGGGTTCTCTACGAATTATGTAGTCTCTATGGTACCTCCGCGCAATTAGCTTAGTTAAACCTGCCACTTCAATTTTTAATCAATGATAATGAATGACTCCTTACTCATGCTCGACAAGATTTTTCAGCTGCTCTACGATAAATCAACGCTGCAATATAATAGGCGGTATTCGTAGCAATTTCAAAAGTGTTCACTCTAGCGACTATAAATACCCTCATTCTCCCTTCTCGTGGGCCATGATACGCAAAACTTAGCATATCTTATAGATTTAGTCTGGTCTAGTAGTGTCATTGCAATATATATTGTTCGCTTGTGAAAATAATCTAATTGGTCGGTCATCAGGTGACTGCCATATAGATAAGGCTGCGGGGAACTAGCCTGATACCCGGGGATATATAACACCACTACTCAGATTATTTGTCGATCTCCCACTGGCCAGTAGTGCGTCATTTTTTGATCATCCAAATGCCTCGAGGCAATAAGTTCACACGATCACGGACTGGTATGGCGGTTCATCCCCGGGCGAAGTGCAGGTGCTAATGTAAATGCGGAAAAGGATGCCTGCAATGTCGAAAGAAGCACAATAAATGTGACGAGCAACAGCCAATTTGCTCCTTCTGTGCTTCGCGGAATTTGGAGTGCAGATATCCGTTGGGTCTGAAATGGGTTCAACCAAAAGAGACAATTCAGACAAGACATAAGCCTCGCTGCAAAGATCCTCGTCCAGCAATTGAACAAAACATGCTTGGTCAACCTTCGGCACTTTTCGTAGAGACATATTTTGAATCTGCAGAAGAAAAGTCCGCCTGGGAGTATTGTATGTGACCTCATTATATGCAACGGGAATTAAAATAGCTAATCGAGAATACTTGCACAGACATAAGCCTCGTCTCATCCAATGTCCCCGCTGTAGATGGACCGGACAACCCTTACCGGCAGGTCTCCATCCCAGCTTTATCATCACCAATTCTTCTCGAGACTATCGTATGCATATCGACGGAACATATGCTCAATTTTGGATTAACCAGCATTGATCTCGCAGCCAAGCGCCAGCAGCGAATGCTCAGAACGCTTGGACAAAACCTGCTCAGTATCGACGACAGGGCCGCCTGCGACGCAGGTACAATGACAACCAGTAATAAGCACGAGCAAGAAGCGCTCCTCACAGCCGTCGTTCTTCAGGGGATCGTTGTGGCACAAACAGCAGATGGAGTACTGGAGCCCCACGTCAAATGCGCTTCTTGGCTCATGCAAGCACTTGGCTACTTCGACGAAATACCACAAAACCCCATCGCACGTATGACAGTGCAACGATTCGCTATGGTTGACGTAATGCTAGCCATCTCACGACAGCGAAGGCCATACGCACCGCAAAAGTTCATACTCAACCAGCCCGACCAGAATCGCTGGGACACCTCCGAGCCCTCATTCCACAAGATGACAGGATGCCCACAGCCACTAATGTGCTTCCTAGTACGAATAGCGCATCTAGCCTGCGACGTAAGCGACGCGCTCGAGGCAAATACAGACGAAGGCGCCATCCTTAATAAGGCATTCCAACTCGACACCGAGCTTCGCGCTTGGGGATCTGGTTACAAAGGAATCCCGCCAGCGAAAGGTGAGCGCACGCCTCTGGATATCCTCACCGAGTGCTTTTACTGGACTGCGCATTTACTGCTTGCCCGTCGGGTTTTTAGAGATCAGACGTGCTCGCCGCGCGTGCAGCATTTGGTGCATGTATGCTTTGGGCTAATGGATCATCTATCAACGGGGTGTGGGCCTGATTCGTCGCTGCCTCAGCCATTTTACATTGCTGCGAGGGAGGCCTTGTCGCCCGAGGATCGTGTGTGGGTTCGGCAGAAGCATGAGTCTATGACGGCTTATTATAGGGAACAACAGCGGAACTCGGCAATGGAGCTTATTGAACAGATCTGGCAAACTACGGATAAACTACGGGAGTTGGGTAGTGGCTCCGGTTGGCCGAGGGGAACTGAATTGTCAATTGTGGATAGTTATGTGCAAGCGCTTGATAGAGGGGCTTGTTTCTTCATCTTCTAACGAAGTTAATATTTTTGGGTCTTTTGGGGGGGTTCTCTTTTCCCTCGGGTAGTTAGGGATGAACCGGTTCGCGGATCAAAATTGAAACAATGAACTGTCCCAGGGGTATTTACCTAGATGGGAATGCCCGGGATCTCGCATGTCAACAATGGAAGATAAGACACTACCTGTGTTGGGTCATTAAACTAGAAGGTCACTGCATGCAGTAGCGGAAGCAAAATAATGTAAAGGAATGAACCCCGCGGACCGGAGTAGACCGAGATCCTTTGGGGAATAAACTGAATGCCCCGGTTTTGCGAAGGATTCAATAAATTCGGGGTTCTCGATGAACCACTTCGTACATCCATTATTCTTGTTGTGTACATTGAACACTCTCTATTATATCATACGATCCATCGACGCATATTCCGTACTCCATACTCCCCCTAAATGGAATGTCAGAAAACCGGATGTGACGGAGAGTCCTCAAGGAGAGTTGCACGCTAAATTCAATACCGGTCGGGGTTCGGGGTCTAGAATGACATGTCATGTCTCTAGAACCAATCATAATCAATGCTGGGGCGGGTACCTGAATGTTTCTCCTTTGGCGGTCCACGGAACTGCACGTGTAACTGCATGCTTATTGGCCGAGGCCACTGGATTCGCCCCTGGAACCATGGTCCAATAGTCCTGTGGCTCGAATCAGGGGAAACAGTCTCCAGGGGAAAAACTTTCTATCACATCGCCCATCCACTCTGTCCATCTCGTTAATTCGTCAAACGCATTGTCAAACGCATTGACATTCTGACAGTTCCAAAGTTGTCTCAGAAGGCTGATGGATGGTGTCTCAGATTCCTCGATCTCACGTGGATGCCGTTCGGCATTAAGACAATTGAGGCTGTGGTTCATTCGTTTCTGTTGAACTACCCCGTACTTCGTACACTTGCCCCTGAGGGAGAGTCACACCGATGCAGTTGGACAAGGAAGACATAGACGCCGAGTAAGGGGAGTAGCACGCGTACCCCTCTCCAAAACAATGGAGGTTCAGTCTGCGCCCTTATTGCTCCAAGCCTCTGTGATGCTGCTTGGGGCTTATGCAGGCAAAACGCAGGGGCCCAAACCAGTTTTCCCTCCACTCGATACATACGGAGTACACACCATACACTGGACCCGGATGGGAAAAAAAAACATACATGGATTTTTCGGTCTAAACCCGTAGAGGAGGAAAAAGAAAGTGCAAAAATTCGTAAGAAAACTAAAAAAAGGACAAATCGAGGCCCTGACCCAAGAAAACAATGGGGCCCCCCACGAGGTGCCAATAGTCCAGAAAGGTCCGGTGCGTTGTCCATCGTTGTGTAGTCAGCATCGCCCATCGCCCATCTCCTGATCCGCTTTCTGTCCTGCACTTTTTTGTGTTTCCCATTCCCTCCATTCTTTTCTTTTCTTTTTGGCGTCCGTTTCATTCTTTCACGGCGACATTATATCACTCATTTCTGCCCAATTCATTCGTTTCCTCGAGAACGGTTTGCACCCCTCCGTTCCCGCCCCGTTGATCGATTCAACCCGGGCATTTGAGCATTTGCCGAAACATCTTCATTGATTCTTCAGTGATTTTTGTCGACATAGGGAGAAACTATTCCCTGCCATTCGTTTCCAGCTGCTTAGGCCAGCCTTTTTATTTATCCACTCCTTTTTGGACGCCTCTGCGACGCGCCCTTTCAACCCAACCTCCCAGTCTCTGACGTGGACGCCCTCGAACGCCATTCGATCCCTACGCTAGACTTCCATTCATTTACATCCTGAACTTAACCCTCTCGCGCCTGTGGCTGCTTCGAGAGAATCAACATTTCCAACACTCCGTCTCCGCACCACAATCACATCCATCCCATTTTTGTCGGCCGGATCGTCACATACCTTCTATTTCCGAACAAAACCTATATACACCACCAAAAAAAAAAAGCATATTGAACACATTGAACACAATTCCGATTACGTGATATATTTATACCGTACCACGTTACATTATGTCTTCGTTGACGGAAATGCATTACCCGCCAACCGGTGCAATTGCGCGCAAGGCATCGTCCTCCTCGCCCCCAGCTTCGACGCCCTCTCCGTCGACCTCGAGTGCTACCACCGCCAATTCTTCCGCTACGCGCCGGCCTCCCCGCAAAAGCACTCTGACTCAACAGCAGAAAAATAACAAACGCCAACGCGCAACACAGGATCAGCTTGTCCTTCTGGAGATCGAATTTAACAAGAACCCGACACCCACTGCGGCTACCAGAGAACGTATTGCCTCGGACATTAATATGACGGAGCGATCTGTTCAAATCTGGTTCCAGAATCGGTAGGTCCTAGTCGGGATTGTCTCTATCTTTATGTGTACTGACTCAAGATAGTCGTGCTAAAATCAAGATGCTGGCAAAAAAGAGCATTGAGACTGGCGAAGGATGCGATTCTATCCCAGAATCCATGCGACACTATCTCGCAATGCAGTTTGACCCGAACAAGCCCGGTGCAAGAGACCCCTTTGGACGTGCTGGAGCATATGGCCCGCCTAGCATGTACGCAAACGAGACCAACCCCTCTGGCAAAGTTGGTATGTTTAACAGCTTCATCTGCTCCATCGTCTCTTGGACTAATTGGTGTATTTAGTGATTTCTCACTTCACTTGTCGTTCCTTGACTGTCGGCAGCTGGCGTCGCATTGGACAAAACGCCATGGATTTGGTCGTATTTCTACTCCCCTGATAAGGCATGCATGACTTACTATATCAACAACGATGCTGCCGGCTATAAAATCGAGTATCCTTTCGCCTATATCAAGAACATCACCTTGGAAACCGGTGATCCGAGCCCTGGGCCGAATGGGGAACCACCTCGACCAGGTGGTCTTGTCGTGGAACTGAACCGCCCGCCGCACTTTTACATGGACTCGTCCAACTCTGGAGGTTTCTACCAATGCGGCGATTTCACTGAGGAACAGCAAGCTAGTCAGATCATGGTTCATCACCTGGGAGGCCATCCCAAGGTCTTGAGCGTTCAGCTTGCCAAGCTCGTGTCCTTGGAGTCCTTCCAGAACCGCCTGGCTTATAATAACAACAGCTTTGCTGTGCCAGCTGCGATGTCTCCCCCATTCATCCAGCGTCCTGCATCTCAGCCCAACCAGTTTGCCGCTCCCACTTACATGAATCTGTACCAAGACAGCAACCACTTGGGCTTCAACATGCCAGCTGCTCGTGGCCACAAGCGCCAACGAAGCCGTTCAGTACCTGTTGCAGTTGACTTCTCGTCATTCCAGAGTCCTATGTCTTCTTTCCACGCGCCACCCCCTCCACCCCCATTCAACCACACCGAGGCAGGTATCTACGCACCCGTTCCACAGTCAGTGCACCATCTCCCCACAGACCTTCGCATCGACACCCAGGGATATGGCCTGGATTTCCGTACCAACCCTATGTCCGCGACGACCGCCGGATCGCCTCCCGACTTCGCCAGCCCCATGTACAGCAATGCCGGCCAAGGCGAGTCGACTCCAGTCGCCAACATGGCGCCTCAGTTCAACGTGCCCTTCGTCTCGGGAGGATCGACCGATGTCTCGACACTGGGCTCTCATGCACCATCTCCTTACTCTAGCATGAGCCCTGCAGACCCACTGATTGCAAGCCACTCACCGCCATTGTCCAACATGTCGCACGCCTCGTCTGATATGTACGGTTTCTCGCACGACCAGCAGACCGGCTTTGATGACAGTCTCTCGATGAACGATATGTACTCGAAGCATCACGTCAACTTTGGCGTTTCGCATGAAAGCCCTAGCTTCGAACTGCCCATGCACAGCCTTCCTGCCCACCCTTCTCCTGGCATGGGCGATTACTCCCACAGTATGGCTAACCTAGATGAGATTAACTCGCAGGGTATGCCAACTGGGTCATGAGTGGGCGTCTGGGGGATCTTTGAGCTTGTGTGTCTCCTTTGTCTTGATGTTTCACGGCCTTCTCTACGCATGCGGCGCTTATGCTTGCGATGGGTTCTTGGGTTTTTTTTCTACTTTGGGGGAATTTCTTGATTGTCCAATATCAAGAGGCGCGGCTAGGTGCTGGATTTCGGTGTTTTGCAGAACCCATCCCTTTATCACGGCTCTTTTTGGATGATTCTCGTCTCGCTGGGCGATGCCTAGGGAAGCGATTTTACCTTTTGATGTGTTTCTTGCGTGACATAGCCTTGTGTCTTGTTCTATTGATTATACCCTTTCCATTCTGGGGCCGGTCCTAAAGCGATTTTTGATCTTTTTGTTCCTGTTTTCCCGGCTGTCCCGGTTGAATACAGGACCTTTTTTCTTCCCTTTCTCTTCTTCTTCTCCCGGTCAATTTACCATTCTTCAATTTTCTTTTCTGACTTATGACCGGTTTCTTTCTTCTCATTCTTCTTCTCATCTTCGCATTTGTCTATTTTTCATTTTCCATTTCTCTTTTACGTGGTTATGCCAAACAGACCGACTTGGACTGCGACTCCATTCCCCTCCATTTTCTTTTTTTGTTCTCTTTTCTGTGAGTCTTCGAGGCTGGTGCCAGACATTGTGTCTGCCCTGCACTCTCAATGTGGGTACAACGGTCCATTTCCCTATCATGGGTCTGGAGTCGAATTTTTGCACATGAGCTTGTTCTGTCGGCACCTGTTTGGGTCTGACATCCAACCAACGCTGATCCTCTGGGCTGCGCAGAGTTGTGATATCTTCTGCTCAAAACCATACAAGTAGGACAGCGCTGAGCTGGCGGCATACGAGTGTGGGGGATTGACGCTAAGCTCTGAATAAATTCATTTTGTATCGTACAAAACTCCGTATAGATTGTAGCCATAGTTCAGTCTCGCTATACTGTACAATGCTAACCACATACTACTTGCACATATTATTATACAAGGGTATCTCAAATGTCTTATATAAACCCAGCATCACATATCTCACGACTGCTTGTGCTTCTCCCACCCCATCGGCAAAGGTGCCCGGTACCCTCCCTTCTCCCTAAGGAACCATTCAATCCAAACCTCCATCTTCTCCAAAATATTCCGCTCCGGCTTGCCCTCCATCCCAACATCAAACACTCCCTCCTTACACCAAACACTCCACGACCCCATCATCCCCGCCATAAGCACATCGGTCCCAAGCCGATCTCCAACTACGGCGATCTCATGCGGAGAATCAACAACGCCCCTCTCCCGAAACCACTGCACAACCTCCTCACCGCAAAACGGCTTCTTTTCCGTGCCCGCTGGCAGCCGGAAAACAGGAATGCGCAGATGCGCAAGCTGCGCTTCCAGCGCGGAGATTTCGCCGTCGAAGCGCGGGTGACTGCCGGCGCGGTTTGAGACGATCAGGATCGAGTGCGGGTTCGTAGTTTGATTGAAGGGGGAGGTTGGTGAGGCGCGGAGCGAGGAGAGTTTTGCGAGGATCTGCGGTGGGAAAGATGTTGTTTTCGCTGCGCAGAGCGTGTTGTCTTTGTCGAGTACTAGGGCGCGGATTGTGGGTGTGTGCGGGGGTTTTTCGGGAGTTGGTATTTGCGCTTGGGATCCCTTCTTTGCGTTGATCAGGTGTGGCCCTAGGTTCTCGGGGAGATGGGTGAAGGTAGGGATTGTGAGGTGTGGGAGGAATTGGGTTGGTTGTTTGAGGAGGGTGTGGACGGCGTGGTTGAAGCCGCGTAGGTTGGAATTGGGCGAGCCGGCCATTATGGTTGGTTTCGGAGTATGTAGAATTATGAGAGGTGTAGACAGGGCTATTCGACGCGCATTATGTGGGAGTTTTTGTGCCTTTTTGAGGTTGGAGTTGTTGTTTGGTCGGGATAGAGAACCCAAAGCGGAGAGGATGAGCTTAGCCGCAAAACTCGCCTTTCTCTTAACCTCCACTTACTCCGACCTCATCACTGTCCCACCATCTCCCCACGACCACCCATTGCCTTGATTTGTCTCTTCTTTGGCGCAAGGGAAGCTGTCAGTGGTTCTTTTCGACTTCTTTTACCCGTTTTCCATCCTCGTTCGCCGTCACACAGTCAAAATGGGCAAGCTCACCTCCACGATCGGCATCCCGATCAAGCTCCTCAACGAAGCGCAGGTGCGTTACATTCCTTGATATTGCTGTTCTGATTATTGGAAGGAAGGGCAGGATGTGTGCATGATATCGCGAAAATGGACATCGCCGTGGATAGCGCGAGGCAGAGGGGCTAATATTGTTTTCCAATAGGGCCATGTCGTGACAATTGAGATCACATCAGGAGTCGTCTACCGGGGGAAGCTTTTGGAAGGTACGTCGCTCACCTCTGCTCGAGCTTTTGAGCGTCTGTTCTCTATTTAGAGAGGCGGTCTATACAGAAGCTTCTGGGTGTTTCTTTTGCGCGGTTTCATGCTGACTGGTTTTCTTTACAGCCGAGGACAACATGAACGTTCAGCTCAAGGACATCACCGTCACTGCCCGCGATGGCCGTGTCTCCCATCTCGACCAGGTCTACATTCGCGGCAGCCACGTGCGATTCTTCATCGTGCCTGACATGCTCCGGTACGTCGAGCCCTGATATCCAGTCTTTGAATCGCAATTTTGCGACCAGCGCATCTCCGTTTTTGCCTTTACTGACTAGCTTCTCCCTTCCAGGAATGCTCCCATGTTCCGTACACGAGGCCAGCGCGGGCGCGGTGTCGGTTTGGCGCGTGGTAAGGCTACAGTGCAGCGTGCGCGAGGCCAGCGCGGCCGGGGTTAAATGATTTGTGGAAGAGATGAAATCGCAGTTTCAAGGCCTCACAAATTCAAGAGTGGTTGGCGTTTTTCTTTGTTTTCTTGGTTCTCAGGGAATTTCTTTTTCGGGCTTTGATCTTGCGAAGTCTTAAAATATTGGCTGGCATTTCTTCTTGTAGATGCTCCGTCACATCACCATTCAAATTATGAATCAGTACCGGACATGAATATCCTGGTTCCATTATTTAAAGGTGTCTGGTATGCTCACAGAGCCCCATCCGGATTGATATTGATTCGAGGCTCATGTCCAAGGAGCATATTATTCGTAGCAAGAGTTTTCAGGTACACAGATAGAATCTAGCTGATCAATGCCTATAAGCAAAAGATAAGAACACATCGGCCATGAGTTTAGCAATTCGGATTTGGACAGTACTACATCCATATAAGCTGCCGCTTTTATGAGGGCGCTCAGGTCAGGCTAAGTAAATCTGGGCACCGTTTGAGCGTCACGTGATTATCCGTCTCAATAGAGCACAGAAATCCCAAATAGCAATAGCAGCCACTCCGACGATCTGGTCTTCATAGACAAGAGCTGTAGCCTGCTCTAGCACTACATAGAATTCAAATATATAACTACGCAGACCTTCATACCTAGGTATGTCTAATCCGAAGTAAGCGTAGTATATAACCGAAACGATACCAAAATCCAAAGGGCCCCGGGGTACTTAGTAGGTTACACTTATTGCGAGCATAGTACGGAGTACGGAGTAGCGTTTATATACTTCGTACCTACCTAGCTTTAGCATAACCATACCTGCTAAAGATATAGCGCTTAGACAGACTCCGATAAACCACCAGATAAATCCGAAGAACGAACTCCGAAGCCCCATAAGCTTAGTACCCACCAAGCAGTGTCGTCGGAGATGTGAGGTTTTCTCCGAATCTCTCTAACTCCGATCTTCGTCACGTCACTGTTCCTTTCTCCGAAAGCCCTTGTCGATTTATCTTTATGCGTGCCGGACTTCCAAATCCGTGTACGAGGTAAATTCTGCAATACAATGAGTCAAAGCCCCTCAACCCACGACGGGCGGGGCCGGGGTCGGAGTCGAGCGCAAAGTCCGAGATCTCACCGCCGAAAGCGAAAGGTTCTTAGTTGTGAGCAGTGCCGATGCTCCAAATTAAAGTGTGATCGTAAACAGCCTTGCGGTGCATGTACGCGGCGAGGATGCGCGCTGTCTTGCTCGTTCTTGACCACCCCCCAGTGTTGTGACCGGGTCCATTAATGGCCATCCAACAACGTCTAATCCTTCATCGTCAAATGTACCACCCAGGAACACGTTCGCCGCTCCCTTGGCCCCATTGAGACAACCTCTTGCTTGTTTAGATGATCGACCTGAGCGGCCGGGACCTGATGGAATTCAAGATTCCCAGGATAGCCGCTGGGAAGCGGTTCTTCAACGCCCGTTTCCGGAGCATGATCCCGTAGCAGCAACCGATACTTTGTCTCCCTTTTCAATTGGCCCGAGTATCTCGCTTCAAGATATCATCGACATTTTACCCTCTAGAACCATCTGCGACTGCTTGGTTTCTCATTTTTTCAATCATATCTCCGCTCTGTTCCCCATTCTCCATGGCCCAACGTTCCAGAAGCAGTATGTTGCGTTCATGCAACAGCCCTATGAAGTCGATCTCTCTTGGCTGGCTTTACTCTTTTCCATGTGCTCTTTGACATTGAATACTATGGAGCCGAGTGATCCTAGACTGGTTGATTTATGGCCAAAAGGGTCTCATTCCAAGGAGCAAGAGGCTTTGACTTTGTCCCGTCGGCTACAGCAAACTGCGATGGTTTGTCTTTTACAAGATCAATTTTTTATCCGACATAAACTCAGCACATTCGAGGCCTTGCTGATGGTGATATATAACCTTTCTCATAACGAGTCTGTCGATCAAGGATGGGCATTGTTGGGTATGGCGTTGAACATCGGCATAGCCCTACGGTGCAATGTTGATTCCCAGGGACTTAACCACCTCGAAACTGAGAGACGTCGACGCTGCTGGGTTGGTATCTTGACGCTACATACCTACCAAGCCATTCTCTTTCGGGATATCGACATGTCATTCCTACTTGATATAAAAACCACAATGCCCGCAGATGTCAACGACGCTGATATTACGCAAGAGGGGATCTCGCGGCCATCTAGTGCACCCACACAGATGTCCGTGATGATGTTCAAAGTTCGGCTTTTCCGGATCTCCACCCAGATCTGCCACCACATATCTGGTCCCTCGCGACTTGAGGTAGAGCCATTGAATGAATTTGATGCAACAATCGCCGAGGAACAACAGAGATGGGACTCGACGTATCTAGTGGATGGTGCCCCAAACATATTGGACTCCAGTTACGCATATTGGTGCATTCTACAAACCTACGCACATCAACTTTACCTTCTTCTACATCGTCCTTTTCGTCATTCTCGGTCACCGCACTTCCTTCCCACATCCAGAGAGAGGTGTATCGCTTCTAGTGCCGCCTTAATGGGCATCCATCGTCAGATCTACGAAGTTCCACTGCTTCGACCCTATCTCTGGTTACTTAGAGGTGTTACAAGCTTAAAGGCACTTCATGCTGCAGTGGCTCTTAACTCGTGCCTTTTAGATATGCCGCCGTCTTTCGAGTCAGGCTTGTACCGGGAAGAGTTGAACAAGCTCGTGCTTCGAATGGAGAATCTTTCTCGCCGAAGCGCAATATGTTTGAAGGCGCATCGCATACTTCTTCAATTACAGTAGGTTATACCTCATCTGATGACAAGTTCGGCTCAATAACCTTTTCTAGAACTCAGTTCGGCGCGGAAAACCAGCAACTACCGAATTCGGGAACTCGGTGCGAGAGCACTATTGAAGACTGGAGTGATATGCGGGAATGGTTTGGGGCGGATCTTTTCAACTGGGTAAGATATACAATCTGTGGTTTCTTGACTCTAGACTAACTTGTTCAGAACTTGGATAACGTTGGCAATATTCCCGCAGTTTGACGTTACCATTTCCATTAGACAACATAGTGATTTTTCCACATGGGTGACAAACTTGTTATCACACTGAGTAGTCGTTAAAAATAATAAAGTTATGGACAGAGAGAATATAAATAACAACATATAACTAATCGTTCCTTTGCTGCGTACCACCGACCAATGATGAGATGATATATGATCATGTTTGAACGACCTCAAGATACTTAGCGTTGTGAGGTATCGATCTTCAATTCAACTAATCCGTGGGCTGTATTGTTAGGAAAATGCGAAGGAAGACTCTTGATGAGCTAAATACAATGTTCGACTCATCAAAGATAAGACATCATTCCATTTCAGAATTTCAGAATATTTGCTGAGTGTCGTAGCCTCCATCGAGAGCACCAAGTATTGGCCTTGTAATATCATCAAGAGCTTGATTAGACGGAGAAGTAGTGGGTCATGGAAGTCCGATGCAATTCGGACGAAACTATTTAGGGCTGACCGGGATTGAAGTACAATCTATCGGAGAAAAGTGTGGCGGTTCCCACCCATGTCCGATGCGAAGATCAAATTCGGACTTTGCTGATAAATACTGGTGACAGCACCGGTGCAAGTGGACAAAATGAATTTATCAGTGGACCTAGGCCAGGATCCACAGTCATTATCATTGAGAGAAGAAAAAAGAAAGACGCTTAAAGCCGGTATTTTTACAAGCTCAATGTAGTTAAAAATCCTTATGACTATATAATCGCAAACTACCCGGACCTTTCCCTTCCCAATCTTAACTGCCGGTCTTCTGATAGTTTCCTGCAATGGAATCTCTCTTTCAGTATCAACGTGTCCGACGAGCTGTTCGTGAGCAACTAGCGGAAATCAAAGAAAAATGCAGCTGTGAGAACTATACACCCGGGTCACCACATAGCTCGAGGTAAGTGATAGCTCAACGAAGCCTTGCAAGTATATATCTTTCAATCCATGCTCATAGTCAATTATACAGCTGTCAGTCAAGCAATGTTTGGCTTTCTGTTCCGCCGAAGCAGCTCTCGCTCCAGGAAAAACCTCCCATCGATGCCCCCATCATTGTGGACTGGGATGGTCAAAATGATCCTTTGAATCCTGCAAGTCAGAGCGTGTCACGAAAGCTGTTCATGACCTTTCTGGTCTCTTTACTTGCTTTTTCTGTAACCGCTACGTCGGCGATTGATGCTTGCGGTATCCTGCAATACAGTGAAGACTTCAACGTATCCGAAGTAGTCGGGTCACTTGCGACAGGTAAGTACAGGCCTTTGAAATGATCATCACCTTTTTCACAAGCTGACTCTGCCAATAGCTCTATTTCTTGTCGGTTTTGGGAGCGGCTCCCTCCTTTCAGGCCCATTCTCCGAGACATTTGGCCGGAATGCCGTCTACCTGATAACTATGATCCTTTTTCTGATTTTTATCATGGCCGCGGGACTCGCCCCAAACATCCACAGCCACCTGATCTTTCGTTTCCTTGCTGGTTTCTTTGGCTCTACTCCGCTCAGCTGCGCTGGAGGTACGGTAGCTGATTTGTGGAATCCAGTACAGAAGACGTACGCTTTTCCAGCCTATGCTATCCCATCATTTGTGGGGCCAATGGCCGGGCAGATAATAGGCAGTTATATCCCTGTTAATCTAGGATGGCGTTGGCTTGAGTGGATAATGCTTATTATGGGAGGTGCGATTCTTGTGATTGTTCTTCTGTTCCAGCCAGAAACATACGGACCTCTTCTTCTGTATTGGAAAGCAAAAATTCTCCGTGAAGAAACTGGGGACGAGAGATACAAAGCTCCGATGGAGATGAAAAACGAGGCTCTTGGCCCGCGACTGCTGGCCTCGGTGTATCGGCCATTTGCGCTGGTTTACTCTGAGTTGATTATCATCTTGATGTCGCTCTACCTTACCGTTGTCTATATTGTCCTCTTCACCTTCCTGGAGGGATATACATACGTTTTTGGTCATACGTATGGGCTTTCACAGCAGATGACTAGCATACTCTGGGTTGGGATGCTATGTGGAATTCTTCTTGTTGGCTGCCTGGTTCCGGTAGTATACTCTTGGACTGCCAAAGAGTACAAGAAGACTTCTAGTATTGCTCCTGAAATGCGACTGTGGTATGCAATGCTGGGTGGTGCTCCAGCAGTGCCAATAAGTTTGTTCTGGATGGGATGGACCAGCTATGTAAGTGCCATTACCCATGATTGTTCATCATTGTTTCATTCACTGACTTTCACTCTGGATGTCCAGCCGTCCATCTCAATTTGGTCTCCTCTTATTGCCTCCGCCGTATTCGGATACGGAATTACTGCTATTTTCGTCTCCGCGTACATGTATATCATAGATTCCTATGGTGTATACTCAGCATCTGCATTGGGATTCCTTGTTTTTACCAGATATGTGGTGGCAGGCGGTATGGCGGTTGCTGGTGGACCTATTTACCGTTCTATCGGCGTTCATTACACGCTGACCATCTTGGGGGCCATCAGTACTGCCATGGCCGCAATCCCATACTTGCTTTATGTGTATGGGCCGAGAATTCGCCGATACAGCAAATTTGCTGTTAACGTCGGCGCAGATTAATGCTTGGAACTCGGCAGATCTCATGCGAAGCATAAATTTATGGGTCCAGCAGAAGAATGTTAATTAGATATCAGATTGGAGTCATTTGAGCAATACAATGATAGACATTTTATACACACAAAAGGCTGCCTAATCTTATGTAGTACTTGTATGGGATCTCGCGGGCCTATTATTCACCTCAGAACGGGGTTTGTATAACTTTATATTATCCTCCAGAATAGAATACCGAAGCCAGGGTGACTGGCCATGAAACGGTGGTGTAGATCATCCAACAGTTGACTACATCTATACATCAAGGGAATCTAATATGGCTTCCAAGGTGCTTTGATTACTTAATGTCCCGTGACCAAGTCGGGCATGCTCATTTTTACGCAGAGATCAAAAAGCGGCAAGATTTGAGCCCCAAAATGGGAAAGTTCCGAGCCAGGCATTATCCGGTATTATCCACTTGTTTTTTGTCCATGCGGGGGACAGTTAGCCTCCTCAATACACTGCCTTCTCCAGCTAAACACTACCAATGGACTGAACCGGGCACTACACGACTCAAATCTCCTAAGAATCATCTCAAACTCCCAATTGTCCCCGGAAAGACCGCCATCATGACCCATTCAGCGCCCGCATCCAACCCCGCAACCTCCGCGAAGTCGAAAGTGAAGAATATCTCCAATCCGCGCCGCCTCCTAATTCTCACACCAACCTCCCAATCCCTCGCAATAATTCCGCCGCTCCTACACTCCCTAACCGGCGTGCCCGTCCTCGACCCGCCACAGCAGCCAGCCCCTTCACCAACCACAACCCCACCACAAACCTCAAGCTCAACACCGCCACCACCAACAAGCACCTTCGCCGGCTACACAACCCACAGCCCTCTCCGGCTCGAAACAAAATACTACACAACGGAAGTCCCCGTCTGGGTTGACGAGATCCCACTTGCGCTCCACGGCACGGATCCCCAGCCTACCACGACACCAACCCCAACAGCCGAGCAATGGAAAACCGACTTCTTAAGTTCGGAAGCTGAGATCGTGCGCGAAGCTGTTGGAGCTCTCGTTGTTTGCGCGCATACTCCTAGCGATGTGACACCTCCGCCGGGCTCCAATACAGACACAGACCCCACGGAGCGGCCCGACGTGCGCGCACTGCGCGACTTGATGCGCGGTATTGGCGCTGTCAAGGAACGCATTGACGAGGAGCGCGGCGGACTCGGCGATGTTCCCGGTGTGTTTGTGTTGATTGGGGGGAGGAAGAGTGCTGCGGGTGTTGGTGCGCGTCAGCAGAGATCCAAGGATATCGATGCAGAGCTGGGGCTTGGTGTTGATGATGGGGATTTAGGTGGTGGGGATATGGTGCCGTTTTCGGTTGGGTGGTGGGAGGATCAGTTCTTCGATATGGGGCTGTTGGGATGGGAGATTATTGAGTGGGATCCTAAGGAGAGTTCGGAGGTTGAGACGAGGAATCAATATGGGGGTGAGTTTACCATAGCAAGCTTTTCTTTATTGGGTTGTGTGGCAAGGTTTTGGACTTTAGCTGACTTTATTCCATTACTAGAACGTGAAGGTATGCCTCGTATAAAAGAGGTCCTTGAGACTCATGACTGGTCTATGGCTGGAGGTAACTCTGGCTTTGACGGAGATGATGATCCTGATATGGATTCCGAGGATGACCTCCAAGACCAACTATTAGGTCTCGGTAGCTCTCGTGGGTTTGGTGATGAGGTCCATGAATTAGAGCGTGAAATGTTCGGTTTGCGAATGGCAATTGAGCGTGGAGGTGGTGATGGCGATGAGAGAGACGACTCTGATCATGATGATGGCGAGGACGAGATTGATGTCGAAAGCATGGAGGCATTAATGATGCGCATGCAGGCAATCAAAGGTATGATTCTGTTGATTCCTTGGCTCGCTATAGTTGACATTGGTGCTAACTTGACTATTAGATATGAGCTCTGAGCTGCCGGAGGGCGAACGGAAACGATTCGCTGCGAAGGCTGTGCAAGATATCATGCGTGAGCTCTGAGATTGCTGGTTACTCTACATAGGTTCTAATCTAGATATTGAAGAATATTGAATAACCATACTGTATTCCACTCGTAGACCTGGGCAGCATACTCCATACTCCATAAAAGAAACATCTAAAAAGACATGACAAGGTACCTAAATGAGATATAGATCAAGCACTGCCACAAACCGAGCCACATCAAAAGTGCCGATCCGATCCGTGCACATCTCTGACGTCAGGATATTCCAAGCCAACTTGACAAGCTTGGAAAATGAGCTGTGTTTTCTGTACGTGGATTATCCTGGCTTCTTGCTTGGACTCCTGGCTTCCTACATCATATTCCCCATTCTCCACACGTGTGCTCAAAAACGCCGCTTCGTCATGCCTTAAGTCTCCTACGCGAATACAACCTTATTCAATCCCTACAGTCTACATATTTCCTCTTATTTTACATGCGACGTGAACATACACAATAACCAATTGGGAGGAACAAAAGACCTTTTCTTTTCAAAATGCACTTCCCGGCACGGAATTGCGCCCCTGTCGTGTCGGCGGCGACAGGGAGGATATCACTATCACAACGCAGTGCCCCGTGCTCCTCTTTAGGGATGGTTGGCTCGGTGGAGCTCAACGGCTGGGCTAGGAACTGTTCTGTCGGTTCATCTAGACATATTCGTTCATTTTCGGGGAGGTACCTCGGCCAGGGTATTGGTCTCGGAGCTTCTGGTGCATCACCGGCAACGAAGCTATATGCTGGGCTGACGGCAGTTCCACGAGACCATCGTGCCTGGATTCAGGCAAGGAAATTTAGCAGTGCAGACCATACACAACTCCGAGGCGACAAGCAGAAGACTGAAGAGCTTTTGGAGAAGTTCGAAGTTCAGGAGGGCAATCAAGCAGCTCGGCCTCAGCGGACAGCTCTTGGGGGGAATGGCGGAGGGGGAAAGTCTCCGATGGAAGAAGAAAAACTGCCTGAAAGGATGACCAAGGGTATGTGTTGGTATCATTGGTTGAGTGTCAATGCTGACTTTTGGAGATAGGTAAAATGTTGACGACGCCATCGCGGCTTTTCAAACTGATCATTCCTTTAACGACCATCACAAATGAAGACCATGATAAAGGTATGTAGATCTCCAACATATTCACTGGACCATCATGCTAACCGCCTAATCAGAAATCGAACCCATAGCTATCCTTGTCCATCCCCAACAACCACTGTCATACCTAGAGCGTCTAATCCAGTCAGAGCTACCCCCAATCAAAGGCAACACTGGCAATCTTCGCCCACCCACCATCTCCTTCATCGCACTCCAGCGCGACGACAACGCCATCAAGCCCAAAAAGCGAATCGAAGACGAGATCGACCTACAAGGAAAGCAAAACCAAAACAAAGAAACAGACTTCGTCCCCGGTAACGACGGCGTTGGCGGCAGCAAACCCCTCAACGGCCGATCACCGACCCAGCACCGCCGATCCCGAGAAGAAGACGCCGAAACGTACAGTTACCCCCGCAAAACGAACGGCGGTCCGCCCCGAGACGGCGAACCCGAGCGCTTCGTGCGCTGGTCACAAGCCACAGAGATAGGTGACTTCATCCGGGATGCAGCGCGCGCAGGCGAGTTCATCGTGTCGATCGAAGGCGCGCCGTCCGGTCTAAGCCAGCTCCGCGTCACGGTGCCGTCGTTCAACGAGCGCACGTATTATCTTCGCATGCGATTGCGCAAGCTCTCACGCCGCATCCAGGCCATGGCGAATGTGAAAGAGGAGTGTGATGCGCTAGCGCATCGGGGTGCGCAGCGGGTTGCGATTGGCGGGTTTGGGATTCTTACCATTTGGTGGTTTACGGTTTATAAGTTGACGTTTGGGACTTCTCTCGGGTGGGATACTATGGAGCCGGTGACTTACTTGGTCAGTTTGTCTACGTTGATGGGGGGTTATTTGTGGTTTTTGTATCACAATCGGGAGATTTCTTACAAGTCTGCGCTGGATTTCACGATCAGTGCGAGGCAGAAGAAGCTTTATCAGTTGCATCAGGTTGATTTGCAGCTCTGGGAGTCCTTGATTGATGAGGGGAACTCGCTTCGTAGGGAGATTAAGAATATCGCGGCTGAGTACGACGCTGAGTGGAATGAGCGGGCTGATGAGCACGACAAGCGTGTGACGGAGGTCTTGAAGTCAGAACGTGGAAAGAATGAGAAGAAGAGGGATTCAGGCGAGGAGAAAGACGAGGATGACGATTGATTGTTTCGATCTACTTGCCATTCCCCCTAGATGCATGTATTTTGCATTACATCGATAGTCATAGAATTTCATACTTCAATTATACAATAAGATATTAAACAGTACGGATATGAAGCAAAAAGCAGAGCACAAAAAGCAAAACCCAAGAAAACACCTTCAACTCAAAAATATCACAGCGTGCCATTCCGCACAGGATCGTAGTACTTCTTCGGCTGTGTCGTCTCCTCCTGCCTCGTACGTTTATCTATACTATATCAGCACCTTCACCAATAAACCTTGGAAGCATCCAAAAAGAAACACATAATACATACCAGACTCCGAACCAGCACCCCCAACCTCCCCCTTCCTCCTATTCCGATTATTCCTCACATCCCGAGACCGAAAAACACTATACAACAACCACCCAGCGACCCAATTCGGGCCATATTCGCCATTCGTCGCCCCGCGCTCGAACAAGCCGCGCACGAGTGGCGGCGCATTGTGACAGATCTCGAGGATCGCCCAGCGCTGGCAGTCCGGGCGGATATGATGCCAGAAGAAGGGGGGCCGTGTTGCTGGGTCGGCGCGCACGTTGTCCAGTAGGTTGGAGGTGTCGGCGTTCATGCGGTTGTAGACAATGATTGCTTCATCCTGGGGTGGGGTTAGGGGGGTTCTCGGAATATGTATGGTGTATTTGTATATGGGAGATGGGAGAGGGAGAGGAAGGTAAGGAAAAAGGTACGTGTTAAAGATTCGGCTGGTATACTTACTCGCATGGCGCGGTAGTATTGCTCATGATGCGGGTCTTGTGGGTTTAGACCCAATGCATGCATGAATTCTTCTTTGGATACTCGAGGTCCGACGGGCATTTTGTTGGATTCAGTATTCGATTGGATTGAGGGATGTATTTATTGTGATCGAAGAGTAGAGAATCAAGCTTGTATATCAGCTGTGAAATCAAGACAAAGAAAACGATCTGCGAATATGAATCTGAATCCAAAGTTGAAGAACTAAACTCACAGCCCGTGCCATCGCCAGACTTTATATCCCTTTCCCCTCCCATTCAAACAGATCTCAACGTCGCGGAAACCCATCTAACGGCCGTTGGCTGCAAATTGCATGGCGCCGAAGCCGCAGTGCCGATACAATCAGAGACGCCCATGCCGGAATGAAGCAGAGCCAACGGACAGCGAGACAAGAGACAGGAACAGACGCAATCAGACCAAGCGGGAATTGGGGAAATGGGGCAAAGGGCGAACCTGCAATCGAATCGATATAGCACAAGCCCAAGGATCCGGTGTAGAGCAGGGATCTAAGGGAGTTACTTCGAGGCTAAGGCAATACCTCTAACCTTCCATCTGCAGATAAAGATTATTATTGTTTCTTTTGTGCATGCATGACCAACAAAGAAGATAAAGAGGGAGGGCACGAGGTCAGTGTTGCAGTTGAGGTATTCTTTTTGGTTATTCCGTGATTTTTTGGTCTCTCCGCGCTTACGATTCTCTCGCCTGGGTTAGACGCTACTGTACTTCTTGCAGGAGTTGTGGAGTCGGGCGGTACATGTACAATGTGCGTGTGGGTGATCACTGCACACCCGTTGATATACAACCCCGGACTCCGTCAAATGCGATCCGGGCTGGAGTACTTCATTTTTAGTGGATTAGCGTGTGCAGGGTGAGTAAACCGTTGGGGGCGGAATCTAACGAATAGGGCTACGGCGTTGTGCTACAGTCTTTCTCTGTGGTAAGTAGGCTGGGGGCATGAAGCTCCGATATGGCAAACGAGAGCGTGTTTACTATTAGAGGTGAGAAAGAGAGGAAAGAAGAAAAGGAGAGAGAAGTAGTACAGAGCCTCCTATTCCTACTCTCTCTACCTATCACTCACCCTTTCGAAAAGGAAAAACGTGTTGCGAGTCAAGGTGACCAGTCGAATAAACCGAGACAATCGCAAACAGAGTCATCGTGGACCCAGAACTCGGGATCGAGGACTGAGCGCAAAGATGGCAGGCTAAGTGCGTTTTGGTATATCGAGGGCGACTTCCTGAGCTCAGGTCTGCTATCCGAGACAGACGGGTAGATATATGTATGCTTGCATGCATGAGAAAGGGGTGTGTTTTCGAGGCCAGTTTGTATATTGTATATTGCCCGGAGTACACACTACCGGATCCACGTCGAGGTCCCCAGCCGAACTAAGAATAGGCAGGTAATCGACAGAGAAAGCGAGTATCTCTGGACGTTAATCTCGTTTCTAATCACCTGTACGCATCCGCCATTAAGGAAGTCGACAGCTTTAGCTCAACAGAACCAGATCCGGAAAGACCCGTTCTCAACTGAAGACATCCACTGTGGAGAGAGCTAGGAGAATCAGACCGTGCATCTCGAACTCGCCATCGAGGCACACTGAAACCCAACCCAATAACAAGCGAAATATTCAAGCCACCCTTGCTAGCCGGAAATAAAGCCAAATAAGGCGCCTGTGCCTACCCGTCGGCTTGCGGGCATCCTGCAGAAAAGCAACGCTCGTTGGTTATGTCGTGTGACCTGCCAGTCTGGATTCCGGGCCAGGATGCAATTAAGCAGAATTTCGACAGACCGGAACCCGAATCGGTGCTGTTGCTTGCATCTGCATCGGCTCTTGGATTTGAGCGCGTACTTGCGTCCCGTTGCGGGGAAAGGGGTTCCGGTTGGCAGATGGCCTGACTCGATTCAATCTCTCGTTTGCGATGGGTGCATATGCAATGGGAGGATGGTTGAAGACGAGCAACGTGGCAACGAGTACGGCAGATTGTTTGGATCGGCGTCTATCAATTTTAGCGGACTCCGAGCGACAAAGTGCCTTTATAACTCGATATAGTTGAAGATACACCTGCAGCAGCTATATGTGCCGAAGGCTAGTTTGGCAACTATCAAGTGGCAACTAGAGCAACTAGAGTAACTAGATATATCATAAGGAGGAAAGCGACGGGTAAATACTGACAGGAGGCCTACCGTGCAATATCCGGCTCCACGGAACTTTTCCTCGTTGGCGCTGCGATTAAAGAACGGATGTCACATTGTGCATAAGACGAGGGCCAACCAAGGCGGATTATCTCTGCATCGCAATTTGAATTTCACTGCATAATCCCGCCGCATTGCATACTGGCACGGACTGTTGAGAGAGCGAGCTTTGGTTGGGATGACCAGATCAAGGAGATATGAGGAGTACTGCATCTGCCGTACTGGACCGTGACTTGGAGAGGAAGAGCGTTCTCTGGGGCGCTTTGTGGAACCTAGAATTTACCGAGCGTGCAAGAACTCAAGCTAGTCGGACCAGCAAAATCTCAGCTTCAGCAATATGTGAGCGCGCTGTTGAAAGTCGCCGGCGTCGCACCATCTCCATACTGCAGGCCCCGGTCCTCGTTCACCATTTGCCATTAGCCATGCAAGAGCGGGTGCAGGTGCAGGTGCAGATGTGCAGGATTTGCTGTCAGTTGGCGTAAATAGTGGAGGAAGGGATATGTTGCCTTGATCTCACCCATCTCGTAAAGAGCAGCATGCGGGAATCCGGGCCTGTGAGGCACACACACACACACACACACCAGAACTTTCGATTAGATCGGATTTCACCTGTTAATGAATTCCACCTATTTGGAGCGATGCTGTCCGATCTTTGGATGACAGATAGACAGCCGAGTGAATAAGACAAGAAAAGGTGAGTAAGGGTGAACAGACTTACCCTCTGCTGAATGTCAGGGCAGGTATAGCAGATCAACACAACCTATCGAGCGGCGAACGATGGAAGACAAGATATCCGAGACTAAGTCGACTATCCCGCATCGGGCAAAGTATAAAGTTCCAAGGTTGAGTCAAGCTTCCAAGGTTATCCGGGGGACCCCAGAGGCCCACGCAAGTGGCTGAAGGTAAAAAGCTTTTTAGAGCGCCACTTCTCGGCTTGGAGTTATCTGATTCTCAAATACTTAACCTTGCTCAGACTGTTCAGGTACATTGGTTGATTACTTTGGCTACATGTAAGGTACTGACGTCCCTGTGGCTACTGATCGCGTTACACGTACTTCAATGCTGACGCAATACTATACGAGCCACGAAACAAAAGGCGTAGGTTAAGAGCAAGAAAACAGGGCCTGACAGAGGCACTCGGATTTCCGTATGTCGCTATTGTTCAAGACTCCTCGGAATCGTCACGATTCTCGCGCCTGCACCTACGTGACAGACCAGGAATATCCGTTTCCACACCAGTGTCCGGACGGGAGGGGGAGATATGGTGGAGGTTGTTATGTACGTGTTAAGAAAGCCAGAAAAGCCAGGGTCGGAAGGGATGATAAGAGGAAGTGAGTGAAAAAGGGCAAAAAAAGGGGGAAATGAAAAAGAAAAAGCCATTTGCCATGCTCCATCCGTCGCTAAAAAGAAAAAGGGGAGGGAGGGATATCAACCAGTCCGCATGACCGCTTATTTCGAGGTTTCCTTGGGCTCCTTAGTCTCCTTGGACTCGGTAGCCTCCTTCTTGGGCTCTTCCTTGGGCTTTTCTTCCTTCTCCTCCTCCTTGACTTCCTTCTCTTCGGGCTTCTCTTCTTCGTCCTTCACCTCCTCGCCGTAGTATCGGCGGAGGAGCTTCTCGACCTTGCGATATTCGACCTTGACTTCATCCAGAGTATTCTTGATGGCCTTGAGGCAGGTCTCCGTATCCGGTTCGTCAATAAGACCAGTCTCATCCTTGTGGGCGCCGAAGTTTTGGATCTTCTCGCAGCCCTCCTTGACCTTGACAAGGCCCAGTGTGGCAGATGAGCCCTTGAGGAAGTGACCGAGGGCAGAGAGTTCAGCGAGGTTCTTGTCATCTCTGTTGAGCGATGATTAGTAAAATGACAATGACCGGAATTCCTGCAGGAAATAAGACATCACTCACATTTCCTTCTGTATCTTCTTGAAGGTGTTCTCGGCCTGGTCAAAGAAACCGTACACGATGCTCTTGCTGAAGTCGCGGTCCTCCTCATCATCATCCATTTCAAGGATCTGTTCGAATGTGCTCTCGTCGAGGATTTCCTTGTGATCAGAGAGCTTGGGCGGGCCCTAGACTCGGATGTCAGGCCGAGGAACCTTCGAGCACGGGGCAAGAAGTACTTACCGACTCGGCCTTTTTGGTATCGGCTGGTGCCATGGTTGTGTATGTGTATGTGTATGTGTATGTGTGTGTGTGTGTGGAGATGCTTAGAGGAGTAGGCGGGAGCAACCTAGTGCAATGCGCAGATCGTCACAATCGTAGGATGGAAATGGGCTCGATTTCTCCGGTCTGATGCCCCAGCCAATCCAGATGGAATATGAGGGGATCTGCTTGCAAATCCCAGTCAGCTCAGATTCATTCAACAGATCCAGATCTTGGACAGATAGAATGTGGCAAATCAATGAATGTGAGGTCTTGAATATAAAGATCAACGATGATACAACAAGGACGTCAGAATCGCAAGATCTGCACACAACGCGTATGTCGTCTTACAAAGCCAGCAGGTGTTACGGATCCAGGAACCAAGGTAGCAAGCTGTCAACGACAATATGAGCTCCGGGTCTATGGCCAAGGGAAAGAGGCTGGAACCGAGGCGAAAATACAGCCACCAGATTGAGTGATCAAGATAGTGACCAGGGCTGGGTAAAGGGAAAATCAAGGTTCGAGAGGAATAGAGGGGTAGTACACAGCAGGGCTTGGAGGGGAAAGAATTAGAGGAACCAGATGTGGAGGTGGTATATGGGCTAGAGGGAACAAACAGGGCCATTGAGCGCATATACTCGGACGGTAATCCAGTCACAGCCTCGTAAACAAGGACTAGCGCATCGCAAGAGCTGCAGCCCCAAAAGCCAGGGTCTCCACTTGACAGGGAATTGAAGACAACGAAAATAGGAAGATATTCGAAGAGAGAGGGGCAGATAGGAAAGTCCATCCCACCTACGATATTTTTTCCCCTTCTCAGTTCTGGAGATGACCACGTACCGAAAAGGAGAGATAATGGACCCCAAATAGGGAAAGGAAAAAAAAGGTCGAAAAAAGGAAAAAGATACGAAAGCAGAGGAAGTCAAAGAAGACGAAGGGGGTGGGAAGAGAGGAAATCGGAGGGGCGGAGAAAGAGAGAAGAGAAGGTGGGTAGGCAATCCGAAGGAACCAACTAACAGATGGGAATTTGGAGGATTTGGGAGGATTTGGGGGGGAAAGATATCAGAGAAAATTGTGAAAAATTGCCAAAAAAATAAATTAACAGTTGTTCATTTCATATTCACTTGAATATTGTATGTCGAAATATATAAAATCAGTAATATTTTGGTATTATCCCACGTTCCTCTCATTTGGCGTTGAACAACTCGGGGAAAAGCACTGGAACTACCTAGGTAGTATGTTATATTATTAGCTACAATCTATATGGTTTCTAATTGGACTCATTTTCCTGCAAAACGCCATTATATTCTTTTTTTTCCCATCAAGGTCTCTCAAAAAGCAATTCTAGACGTCCGACGCCATTAGTACCCATCTTGTACTCCGTACGGAGTAGACTTTCTTGCTTTTTCGACTTGGTTTTTCTCGGTTGAATCGTACGTTATCATCTTGAATTTTCAGCCACACACTCCCAATTGTTATCTCTGGATCAAATTCCACCGTGCTCCATTCATGAGTCTAGTGGAGTACGACCGTGCCATCAGTTGTTCAACTGATGGGTCCGGGAAGAAAATGCACGGAATGAACGGGACAACCCCTCGACCTGCTGTAAAGTGTACTGGATAGTACGGGTTTAGTGGAGACTGATAGGGTATAAAAAACATGAAAAAAGAAAAAAAGAAAAAAGAAAACACGTTTTCTGACCGCAAAAAGACCGCTCCTATACCCATCTGGCAGCGGTACGGACCAGCAGGACGACATCATCGGACCGCCGATCCTAGCAGGGAACGTCATTTGGTCTTTCTCCCAAGCGAAGGAAGTTTGGACGGTCACACGTGGAAATATTTTGGGGAACGAATGGCAATGGCCTTTTTTCTTTTTGTCCCTGGGGCCATGCTTTGGAGAATCACCATTTTTCCATGGCTGTACTGCTTGAAAACAGAAAAACAGAAAGAAAAAAAAAAACCACCTTGTCCTAGCAAAGTTTTAGCCGCGAAGGAAAAAGGAAAAAGAAAAGAAAAAGGTAAGACGTAATAAACCTGGCTCTCACAGGGAAACACGATCGACTTGGGCCAAGTGCGCAGATAGAACTTGATTCAGTCGGTCTGGACCCTCAAGGACCATCTCCAGTAACTCAGAAATTGTTCGTTCTGGTCGTTGCATGGATTCCACCATCCGAGTCGGTAGTGAGTTGAACCAATGTGTGAGCTCACGGCTCCACGGCTTTCTTTTCCCCTTTCCAGAGGGGAAGAAAGGGGGGTAATATTGTTGGGCTAAGACACGAGGGAATATGCTGTCACCGGTGACGATTGGGTGTTTTGGTGTTTCTTTTTATTGCTTTTTTTCTGGTCTGGCTTCACGGTTCGGGTTTCCTATGAATAGACTGGCGTATAGGTTAGATATATACTCCGTATGTCAATTGAGGTCGAACGTGTCCATCGCGCGCCGCAGCCATCTTTGTTTATATACTCCGTACAATATAGAGAAATGGGGGCGTGCATCTCCTTTCCCCTGGTTTTTTTTGCGCGAAGTGGTTGGCACTAGCACTTTCGCTATCATTACCCACCAATGAGATGATGCGATGGTTGCCATGACATCATGGGATGGGGCAGGAGTTCCACCCACACCAGCCGCTGATGTCATTTGGCGTCACAGCAAAATACGACTACGTCAATTACAGCAAATTACAATTTACATACTCCGTACTCCGTTCTCCGCTGTCATGTTTACTTTCTACTTGGTGTACCCTAATAATTCCATTGTAGGTTTAGAAGATTGCTATACTTCTCTCTCCAAGTGCTGATAGATCCTCCTATCTCCTCAAAAGGCTTAAGGCCTATACAGGGCGACATCGTGGCCCATGATGTCAGTTGCGAGGCTATGATGTCAGTTCGCATACGTGAACCCACAGTTCCATACAACATGAGATGAGAATAGCTGTAGCACGGAATACAAATGGTGCAAATTATATGGAATTCCTCGCCTTTGGTAATTAACGTGCATCAGTCTCCGGTCCATTCATACCGGAGAATCAACCGGACAATAAATTGAAGTACTTCTGCTGAACGTGGGGTCCTCGCTAAGTTCACCGAGGAACTACTTAAATTAAGCGCTCTCATCTCGAATCGAATCTGAGCAATCACATCCAACAACAATCCCTCCGATATCTTCCCGTCTGTCCATCTAGCCTTTCGGACATACCACCCAAACCAGTCAAGTCCAAAAATAGGCCAGACTACGCATGTTTGCTGCCGGCAATACGAGATGGCAGTAGTCTGGACTAGATCGTGCAGTTTCACACCGCGGGGTCAGCTAGTCTTTGTATCCCTGGCAGCCAAGAGCTCGTCCATAGGAAGCCATCCGCTTCGCTGCCGGCCCATGCACTCGATTGCCTGGAGCGAATCACATCAAGCCTGTTCCTCGGCAGAGAGCTTCTAAAAAATGTTCGCATAATCCAGGCTTGCAGAGAGCATTTATCCGGATGCGACATCTCGGCTACGGATTATATTCGGAGTTGAACAACAAAGCGACTGCATGGGTGCTTTCTTAAAAGGGTGATTGGCTAAGTAGCATGTAGCACCCGACTACTCCAGACTGATAATATTAAATTTATAGAGATACTCATATACCCTCAATAAAATCATGCAATAATCGCCCAAGAAATCTAATGAACAACAAAATAAAGATGTGCCATACCCCAGATCCCAAACACGGCTTTGTCTCCACAGTTTCTTCGCGGGCTCCAGGGCTCTTCCAGAATGCTTACGTAAGGAACCGCGACCTCGGTCCCTTTTTTTTTTGTTGATCGTGAGCTTCCCAACCAAATCAACATTTATTTCTAGTTCCTCCATCCAAGGCAACATCACCACCAATTCTCCCACGAGACCGACGAGAAACGACCCCGGTCAAAAATGGCCTCAGCCAAATCATCAAGCGCCCCGCGCTCCGGCTCTTCAGGCCTAACAAAATCCTACCTCTTCACCTACAACACCCTCAACCTCCTCGCCTGGGGCACCTGTGTCGTCTACACGGCCTCTCTCCTCCCAGCCCATGTATCGAACCAAACTCTCCCGAAGGTCTTCGGTCAGACCTTCTCCCCGCTACTGCTGGCCACGCAGTCCCTCGCCCTGTTAGAAGTTGTGCACAGCATTGTGGGCCTCGTGCGCGCGCCGTTCATGACGACTGCCATGCAGGTTTCTAGCCGGCTGCTGCTGGTGTGGGGGATCATGGCGCAGTTTGGTGGGGAGATTGTTGGTGCTGGGCAGGATACCCAGCTGGGTGATTATGCGTATCTGGGGTGTGTTTTTTGCTTGGGGAATTACGGAGGTTATCCGTTATGGATTCTTTGCTATTACCTTGTCTGGGAACTCGGTTCCTAGCTGGTGGACTTGGTTGCGGTAGGTTTTGGTCCTTTTCCTTTCTGACGAGGCTACTGTGTTCAATGGGCTGATGGGTTTCGCATTGAACAGATACAACACTTTCTACGTTTTCTACCCCGTTGGTATCTCTAGCGAGTGTGCACTCATCTTCCAGGCCCTTGGTCCTGCTGGCGAGCTGAGCCCGCTTTTCCGTTACCTTTTGATTGCGATTCTCGTGATCTATGTACCTGGTATGTTGTTCTTATGGGGTGTTTGTATTATCAGTTACTGACTACCTACTAGGTTCTTATATCCTGTACACCCACATGATTGCCCAAAGACGCAAGATCATGCGCGGCAAGAAGAGAGCTGATTAGACAGATTAGCCACCCGCAGCTCAACATGAACTTGAATAAACCGAGTGGGTAACGAAAAGATGACCTGAATCTATAGCCAGCTAATGCTCAAAGACAATTCAAGGGTCCATCATATTTAGGACCCGGAGACCCGATTCTCTACGTTCAAAAGTAGGACTAGGATGTATTCTTCTGAATCTGCATTCGTAGAAACTGGACTTTGCGTTCCGCGAATCTATGTTTAGCAACCTGTTCTAGATGTTAGCCAAAGGGACATGTGAAGATTCTAAGGTTAACTAAGTTTGGCAATATCAGACACTCCTGTTTCTCCACCTATCTATCACCTCATAAAGCATCGTCCGTAGATGTTTCTCAATGTCATGCTCTCGGGTTCATTTATAAATGACCCTGTGTAAAGCGAAAGCATTCGGAAAGCAATGTGACCCCTACAGGATCGTAAGGGAAGCAGGGTAGCTTCTAGCAGCAGAAAGCCTGGAAGGCAGTCGGCCCTGCTTTTGGGACGACGTAGAGAGCCACCCGTAAGATCAACTAATAGCAGATGAGGATATATGAATAAAGAGCATTTCTAGTACCTGAGACTGTCCAGGCTCCTACATGCAGGATGTCCACTAGGGAATCCCAGTTTTAGAACTCTTCCATATTCTGTAAAGGTTTAGTATTATTAAAATATCTACCTCTGCTCCCATTCAGCCTTGAACTGCAATGAACCGCTCCTCATATGCCTCTTATCCTGAGGAGTACTCAGTAGAGAACAGAAATCATCAGTGCGTCTACGAGAGAGATATATAAGGATAATACAGTGAATGGTATATTCGGAATGATACTATCATAAAGCCATCTATATATATTCATAGAGCAAAGAAGCAAAGATCCGCTAAAAGAGGACTGTCAATTTACTTAAACAGGCATTCCACGCTCAGTACAAGACATTCCCAGCGACTGGTAATAGGCAAAGAATAAGAAACCAGTCCCAAGGGCAATCAGGAGAGCATCATATTCACTATTACACTGGGCATAGATCTTCCTCGCCGGGGACTCGTAGAGTCATAGTATATCTTTAATTCGATTCTTCCCTAATTCGATTTCTTGGTCCCAGCCTGGACTGGGCGACCTTCACGGCGTAGATATGCCAGGTAGCCATAGCTGCCAAGGGCGATAATAGCAATAACGACGATGTTACCTTTTTACGAGAACCATTAGCTTAATACATTTTCAGAGTCATCACGCATAAGATACTTACTGGCGATGAATGCCCCGACCCCGCCTGTGGCTTCCAAACTTCCCTTTACCAGGTGCTGTAGCATCTTAGGAATACCGGCGAAGAAGTCGACAAAAGCCAGGAGTAGCTGATACCCCGTATCCAGCGCACTCTTAACCATAGAGAATATCACCTCGAATATGGAGGTAATGAGGTCCTTGATGGAAGTAATAATCGATGTCATTGTTGCTGTGACTAGCCCTGGGAGCTCTTTGTGCGACAATTGCGAGCGTCGTATTGTTTTTCTTTTAGTTTCTGAATTCTTAACAGTAGTGTTCTGCAGGTGGCATTCAAAATAAAAGAACACGTTTCCAATCCAGAGTGGCAAGTTTAGACTAAGACCAGTCTTTGTACGAAAGTGTCTCCTTCCACCCGATGACGAAATATGTGTATACCTAGGTAGAATTAGGGTTTGAGTGAATATACTGGCACACAGTAGGATTGGGGGAAATTGTTTCACGTCCTTGTTTTAGCGTCTGTCACCGGGTTAGTTACTGATCACCGATGACGTGAATTATACAATTCAAACTCCAGGTTTGGAGTGACAGGAAGTGGGTTTACCTGAGATCCAGCCGAATTATATCCTGTTCTACAATGTTATGACGTCATATATGAATACGATCAGATAAAGTCAACCCCCAGATTTCCAAGATCCAAAGGCTGAAAGGTCCAAGGTTGCTTTCTGGGTTCAATAGAAGGTTGTACACCTTACTGCTAATAGTTTTTGGAAGTATCGATTGAAACTAGGTGTGATCGTTATCAGTCACATAAATGTTCGATTACGGAGATAACAGTGATTTAAGGCAACGGGAAGAGCAGTTTGTATGCACATTGCGCGTAAGTTTCAGGATATAGCAAAAGTTACATTCGTTGGCATAAAAGTCATTCGCAAATATTATACAGTGAAAAGCTGTGTCCGTCTAGCACCTGGGTGCTAGCAAAAGAGGTATCTCATATTCCACAGCGGTTCAATTTCCATCAGCACCCGTTTACTGCTTAGCGGCCTCTACATATCATTAGCATTGATCCCATGCCACACGCTTGTTTGGTTTTGACAAACTTACCCTTGTGAACATCAGCCTTGGTGTTGTGGGACGCCTCGTCCTTCTTGTCGAAAACAGCATCCTTTGCGGCTTCAGCTCGGCTGCCCAAGCCAGCATCAGAGTCCTTGGCGACATTCTTGTTGGCCTCCTTTGATGCCTGAGCACCACCACCCTGGAGGGTCTCCGAGACGTAGTTAACGGCGTTCTAATATAAGGTATTAGTACTTAAGAAGACAGCCTTCATCCAAGACGATATGATGATGCGAACCTTGGCGGTCTCCATGATGTTGTTAAAAGGTTGTTGAAATGGGCTTGAGAGTCTCAAGATGTTTGTTGATTTGAAGGTTTGTGGATTGTATGATAGATGAAGTCAATGGCAGAAGTAGAAGGGGATACTTATACTAGATGCCAGTGTGTTTGGTTTAAGCTCTGACGTCATCAAACAAACAACTTTCCATGGAAGCGTCGACCAACTGTGGACGATTAGCCAACTTCCAAGGTCGGTGATGTAACGAAAGGGAGGATTACTTGTTCTTGCATGTCTTATGATGGAAGAACCCACTTATTGGTTTGACCTATTTTGTACAACAACGTAATTTAGGTTGGGGTACATCTTAGGTTTCCTTGGAATTGTAGGGAACAGATTAGTTCCCCTATGGTGCATATTAAAAATAGGAATTTTTTTATTTTGCGGTAAAGACAGGTCTTGCACAACGCGCATAGGGTACGTATTGACTTCACTGTGGACCTTGACAGGTACAGAGCTTCTCAGGAGATAGGTGCCATCACATTTCGAAACATTCATTCCTTCACTGGCGCTGTCTACAGTGACCAGATCCTATCATCCAAGCTGCGCGGATTGCTTATATCAGTGGCGATATCTTCGATCCATGCTTCGATATCTCGAGCAGAGAATTCATTGTCGCAGTTATGCACCGCATAGTCAAAGTCTCTTTTGACCTGGCTCTTTTCAAAGACTTCCACCCATCCTGCGTCCAGTGTTCTCATCTCATCAATGAATATATCGCGTAGAAGCGTGGTCTCGTAGTGCCACAGGTGCTCAAAGTACAGTTCATTTGGTTCTCCATTATCTTCAGGTCGATAGTCTCCAGGGACAGGCTTTGAGTGTCGTGGTCGCTCTTCTAAAAGCTCAGGATAGGAGCAGGCCTTCCATAAAGGCACCGCTGAAACACACTCCCAGTCTAAGACGCCAGTCAGTTCCCCAGTGTCATCAACGAGGATATTGGGTCCCCAGAGGTTGTCGTGGAATAACATGGACGGTTCTGAATCACCATCGTCCGTTGGGAAAACCAGAGGAAGAAGGGATTTGAGTTTGTCAATGATTTTCAGCGTTCTTGTAGCGTCTTCCACTTCAGCTTCATCGTCGCTATCAAGATCTCCAGCCGAATGTTGATTCAAAGTCGAATGACACTCATTCTCATTGCATAGAAGACGAGCGGTGATCCAGTCCTTGCTTGTGCGGAATGGGCCTCGGGGATATCTTGGTGGATACGTGAATCCCAGAAAAGCTGCATAGAAACAATCCGGCCCACCTCAGGTAAGGCCCCTGCTGGAGAACCTTTGTCAGACAAATTGAATAGAGGAACTCCCGAGTTCTTTCTCATAGGTGCGCTACCATCATCTGAAACGGGTTCCTTTGCCGGAACTGATATTTTGGTATCGGTCAGCTGTCTAGGGGACAGTATTTCCTCGCTAGATGTTGTTGGGTAGATATTCCCAATTCCGCGTAGTTGATTTCGAAAAAGGCAAGCTGAGCTTGCCGCAAGCTCCCTAATCAGGCGTGTCTTTAAATCAAAGGAAAGAGACTGCTGAATTTCACTGAAGGGCCTTCCAGGCAATTTGGTCATAAGCATCCATTCAAATCCAATCAGATTGTCTCGGGAAGCTTGGTAGGTGATAATTCTAGGGATTGGGAGGCTTGTGATGCGGCGCACCCAATCCATTGTTGCCACTTCACTCATGACTTTGTAACGTGGATCAACGGGCAGTGAGACTCGCATGATAAGCGTTTCATCATCTATGCTGACATTGTAGATCTTGTTGAATGCACCCTGGGCGAGTAAAGTCACCTCAACCGAGCTTGATGGCCGGAGCGACTGTACTGTCTGCTTTATAGCCCCAGTGTCAGGTTCAACAGTCCATCGGGGCTCGGAGCAGAGCGTTTGCTCCCACGCGAGACCATGAAAATCCGATTCCTGTGGTTTCAGCAACACCATTTTCGGTAGGGTGACTGTAGTATAGGGAACCTTGCTTTTGCCGCCGTTTTGCAATATGTTATGCAACTGGGATAAAAAATGTATTCCCCTTCTTGGATGCTGTGAGTATTGTAATTATATGTCGATGTATGAGCTGTAGCCTTCACTAGGGAACACGCTCAGAGCCTCATCCCTACCAAGGTTTCTGGAACCCCGCATGTGACGTATCTAGAAGGCGGTGTCTGAGTCATTTATAGAAGATACCCACATGGCAATATTCCAAGTTCTTCCTTCAGACAACATATATAGACTGATGCCTCAACCACCTGGACACTAGGCTATAGGCCTAGGTTGGTTAATAAGCACACCTATTGGGATACTGTATATACGGGCAGTTGAAGCCCCCACTCAAATAGAAGTATAGAGAATATAAGTCAACATAACACCATGTACGGTCGTAGAGACATATTTGCAGAGTACAAAGTAGACAGGTCAAATTCTATAGTGGCTAAGTTTTGAAGTGGAAAGGTGAAAGGATGAGAAGTGAGGGTGGAAAGCAATGAAGAAGGGTTGAAGAAGTAAAGTGGCAGGAAATATATCTATATAAGTTCGATTGGGGGATGGTCGTCCCCTATGGTCAGGCTGGAAAATGGTCCATTCTTTTACATAAAAAGGATCTACATAGCGGTAGGACAATCCTGGAGCCTGTCAGCGTAGTCTCATTATTCGTGGTTCATCTCTTTGTATAGACTAGAGCAGGCTTTCGTTATTTCTTCCAGGCCCCTTACTATTAGCCGTGCTTATATCAATAACAAAGAGCTTCCCCGGCTTTGGTTGCCAAAGCATTACTTTGTTCTAAACAATGGCTTTTTACTTCCTCGAATCTCCTTGAGTCTTCTGTTGTCTTTGTTCTTTTGAGATGTCCTCCATAGGGAATGGATACAGAGTTGAAAACAATGCAACAAATGATTTACGGTTGAAAGCCCATTGTAATATTCCATTCGAGTGCAAAGAGCTAACCAAGTACCAAGCAGTTAAATACTCGACAACTTCCACGTCAACTTCCGATATTCAGAATCAAGCAGCGTTCCGACTGACTAACCATCCAAAAATTCAATACTTCAGCAGACCAGCTTTATTTACCTTATTCGATCTTACCATCTTCAACATGCCCTCAGCTGAGCGTAAAGTTTTCGAGAACGAGACAGAGGCATGGGAAGCACTCGGTATCGTCGACCTAATTGGCGACCAAGCTTGCATTCTAGAGATTGTCGAGCGCGTCTACGCTCCTATCCACAACAAGTATATTTTTGATGGATACCTCCCTGACGGATTCTTTGAATCTGCCGAGGAAGAGCTTCTACTAGCGCTCCGCTGCTATCTTTGGGACGTCCCAGAGACTGTAACGGACCATGTACCAGATGATGATGAGCTTTGCTTATGTCTGTACGATCTTATCCGATTTAAGCGAGCCGATGATCCTGCGTGGATGCATATCTTGCCAGAATGGGACTTCTAACGGATACAGCTCATTGATGAATATCTATAGAGAGAAATTTCACTATCAATGGGACCAGAAGAGAGAGAGGCGAGGTGGGATTGACACAGACAATACAATATTCACTGCTCCAGCCCAATAAATAGAACGATTAGTTTGAGATTGGAACCAGTCGGACATGATGCAAGTGATGTAGAGTTGATTATTTCTGCTTGATTATATGGTTTCCCAAATACATTGATTTTTTGTCGTTTCTAGAAAGACCCAAACAATTGCACTTCCCTTCTCCTGTAGTGTCTCAAATCTAAAAATATAACCTCAGCAGCCTCTAGATATCAGACTTCCTCTGCCAGTCGCTTACCTAAACTGTCACTTTTGGAAGTAGTCCAGGCACTGTAAGCTAACATAATTGCAGTTAGAGACAGACAATAATGTAAATTCAATAAGAGTAACAATAAAACACTGAGTATTCTAAGTTGCCGTCATTGTTTCTGACACCTCAAAGGGTATACGCCAGTTATCCACCAGTTGGCAAGCCACATAGACTAGATTCAACAGCTATAAAAATTAAACAACCTCATAACAGAATTCATCGCTAACCACCACTCGCAACAACAAATAAATCCACCATCTAGATACATGCAAACAAAATCATCATTAGTCCAGCCATACCATAACCAACGAGAACACAGCAGACATTCAAAATCCCGCATCTTTTCCCTCTAAAAGAACCAACAATGATACCGAAGCGTAGTCGTAAGCGTCATATCATAAAATCGTAACCCTAATTAAATCCTCCCCAAAACCTTCCCCCAATCCCAATCCCAACCCTAACAGGCCTACTCCCCTCCACTCCAACTCCCACCCCGCGACCGGTCACTCCCACTCCCACTCCCACTCGCAGACCCCAAAGAAAGCACATCGTCCTCACGAGCAGGTTTCCGTCCCACGCCAATCGCAACACGCATCCCTGCACTGCGCCGCCGTGCTCATGTCCCACGGGGTACATGCCGTCGTTGACGGAGAAATTGCGGCAGATGAGGTAGGCGCGCATGGCGGCGCTCTCGCGGGCCAGCGTCTCGTTGCTGCAGATACCGTCTGTTCGGTACTCGCGGTTGTTGACGCGCACGGTGCATGTGTATCCGCTGTTGCTTGTATAGGCGTTGTAGATTGGTTCGGGCCAGTTGCGGCGGCGGCAGAGGCCTGGGGTTGGATTTGGTTAGTTTGGTTTCTGGATGGTGGGATTGGTTGGATTGGTTATATTGGAGTGGGGTGGAGGGGTAAGGGTAAGGTCTTGCGTGTTTGTTTTTCTGCATTGGGTGTTTGGGATAGGGTGGCAGGGGAACGGGTTTGGGGGGATTGGTTTGTGTTGGCAATGATGTATGACATGCATGGTTTTGGGAGGAGGTGGTGAGGAGAATGATGGCAGTGGTGACATACTGGTCAGGTAGAGGATATAGTACATCTTGGGATTTGGACTAGACGCAAGCTGGAGAGAAGGACGGGAAAACTAGACAGGCGACGGACGACGGCGTTGCCACTTGTCCAACTGCAACGAATTGCGACGATTACTCGGAACACATTGGATAGATTTGGCTTGCAGGGAGACGGGTTTAGGGCTGAGGCTGAGCTGCTAGGTGGTGTGCAGTCAGAGGATATGCGGATTGTGATGCCCAACGGCGTTTGCTTTGCTAGCAGTGGGGAGGATGTGCTGGCGTTCCAAACAAAAGCACAATTATAATATTAGTAAAGTCCAAGGGTGTCTAATTCAAAGAAGAGTGAATGAAAAGCGAGGGTGAAAACAGTAGAGAGAAATTGAGAACTAAATCAAGATTGCAAAGGAAATATTGGAAAGATGCCACACCCATATACAGATATACAATTTTCTAGAACCGACTCCCCCTCCTCCGTACAACAGGGAAAAAAAGAAAAAGAAAAAAAAAAAAAAAAATTAATGAGGGGAACAGAGCTGCTGCTTGCCATATACAACATACTCGATTACTTCTGAAAAACAGGTGGGGCTTTTGCATTGATACCTTTCCCAAGTCATACCGTGAGCCAGCCGGTGTACACAGTACCAATAGAGAAGGGAAATGGTTGCAATTGCGACAGCGCACAAAGAAACCGGGAAAAAAAGAAGACATTTGGTGTCAATGCAGATGACCTGAAGAAGAAAAAGCTATTAAACAAAAAGTCAAACTACTAAGATTCTAATACCCACCGTTGAAAGATGGAGGGTTAAAAAAAAGCAAAGTCAAGTATACAATAAACAATAATAAGCAATAATAGTAAACAATAAACAGAGTATGTTGTATAGTAAACAATCAAACTCAAAAAGAGACCCTAGGACATGGATCTGGAATCCGGGTATAGACTACTTCCACCAGGTAAACAGAGTACAAGAAGAGAAGAGAAGACGATAGATGCATGCAAGCGCATTGGACCTCAGAAAAGGCCCCAAAAAACCAAAGGTAACAGTAACTCAAACGGATGTTCGATGTATTTCGTGTGCCATTTTCTCGGCGGGTTTACTGATGCGTTGGCATATCTCTTTGCCAGTAGAATTGAACCGAGTCTGAGGCACCGGGAGTCACCGTGAGCTGGCTGGTTGTGCCCCTGCAATTCGCCGATCGAAACATAAACATTCTCGGAGACTAAGGGAGACCTTGTAAGCTGCTTGCAGAAGGTAATACCTGAAGATTATGGATCCCAGTATCCCGGAGTGATTTAAATGAAATAGCGCTATAGTGGTGCTACACTATACTATACCTAGGTACTCTGTACACGGGTCGGTTTTTTTCGCTGACATTGGTTGCTCAGAATGATCTCGTTCATTTTTGGCCCCGCAGACGCATTAGAGAAAGAACAATTAAATTTGCCGCCCTTATGGATATCGAGACGCGGTCTGCAAATGGTGATTGGAGCCAAGGAGGGGCCGTTCATGTTGTGCAGAACGCGTCTGAAGAGGGGTCAATTGCTTGTGAAAGGGTTATGAGTCAATGAAATAGTCAATAAACTACCTAGGTAAGCAAAGTAGAGAGGGGGCAATTGGAACATCCAATATCGGAGAATGGGAAAATGCAGGCGCCGAGGAACTTGAGTTACTCGACAGGCATCGGACGCAGTGATGAGCTGGCATTGCAGTGGAGAAAGGCGTTGGATTTATCTGCATATTCTGGTATTGACGATTACTTTTGCCCTCTTGGGCCTCGTGCAGCTTGTTCATTTTGGTGGCAAAAACACGTTATGATGTACATCGTAGTAACAATTTCATATTGATCGGCGAGAATGGCGGGACAAGTAAAATCTTCACCCGCGCTAAAGAACTTTTTGTGAACTTCGGAAAATCGGTGAAGCTGCCAGCACAAAAAAACTAAGAAGGAATTGGGTGCTATGTGCTATGACCTATGTTGTAGAGTCATACTCGGGCCCCGAATCCAACCCCTTGCGTCTGCGTCTCGTTCACAGCATTCTCCTTGGCTCGGTCGAAAAGAATCATCCTCGTGGCTCCCATGCCATGACCGCCGATATGGCCGCGGGGCTTGCAGTCTCAAGCATCCAAGACTAATCATGCATAATGCACTTGCTCGGAGTCCCTGGTTACCAATGACACCCTGCTTCAATCTACTAAATTGTCGCGAGACTTTCCGAAGAAAACCTCATCCGTCGTGGCGCATTATCCGTGTCTCCTTTCTGGTATGGCGTTGGGTCACGCCCCTCCAGACTAGACAGTGAGAGGCTGGGCCTCGGACCAGAGCCGCATTTGCTCCGCGGCTTTGTGCGGTATCACATACAAAGGGTGCATTGGCTCTAGCCGATCACCCCTTGAAAACACATTGGCCGGATCACGGCTCGGTGAAGACTTCCAGGAAAATGAGGACGAAAAGTTGTTGCTTGCGACACTCGAGTCTGTCCGGTAATGATGGTTTTGAGCCGCGCTCAATCCTGCCATGACGTAGCAGGTGTGATATGAATCGACATGTCTTGGGTCATGGTCAGCTGCACGTGTAAAAAGAACTGTCACGGATAGGGGTTAACATACTTGCCCGGTTTGTCACGGAGACCACCGTCGTTTCCCTGACAACATCCAAGGATGTATCGGGTTAAACCTTCGCGGCTGAAAAGACTGTTGGCTGGTGGCTCGGTGCTATCCGGCTTCCCCTCTAGAGAAGATTCAAGCAATGGCCAACACCCACCAACCCAATGGCTGTAACATCCATCCACGAGCTTATTTGTTCGTCCGGAAAGACCACCTTCTGGGGCGGACTGGCGTGCAGACAACCACGATACTAACATGGGAATGTCCATGTGTCTGTCAGGAACTATTAGCATGCGAGAACCAGAGAGGGCATTCCGAGCTAGAGTAGCCTCGCACCTGTTGAAGATCTCCTCGGGGGGGTCCCAAGATAGACAGACATGCCAGAGCACAGAAGGCGTATGCGCCATGGGCCTCCGATCCAGGGCTACCGGAGATACCTCCTTCAAATGTTTGGCCTGAAGGCGAGTGTCAGCACATCTCAAGGCTACTATAAGGCAAACCACCAGTAACTCATACATCGTGAGAGATATTCAGGAAGACCACTCGTCAGACTCTCCAATCCAGCCTCCCGCGCTTGAGAGCCCGGGCAAGCGTCAGCGGCAGGTCAAGTAGCGAGATAAGAGTCATAGCGCAGTATGCGCCACTGTATTAATGACATGTCAGATCTTGCATTGGGGAAGGGGAATGGGATTACGAGCAAGCGCGTGCTCCAGTCCTGGGGTTTCACTTACCGCACATCTTCCTCCCCGCCCTCGCAAACACGGAATCCCCCGTCTGGCTGCTTCAACCGGCCAATCCATTGCCACCTGGGAAAGCCAGGAACTGGGTCAGACGCACAGGATCACACAAGACGTACATGCAGCAGAAAGCTGCCGGTGACAACTCACATCGCGTGTCGGTCCACCAATCCGAAGGCTTCCTCGCCTCCAACCATAGCCAGTGATAGAACGGCTGCATAACTGCCCGCCAGGTGGGATGTCTGGCCATGGCCGCCGCCAAAGCCACCGGTGCGGTTCTGCATGGGCCGAAGCGTAGTGATCACACTAGAGAAGAAGAGGAATGTTCAGAATGGCATTCTTTTCTTTTTTTCCATGTTTCACGTTGTACAGAAGAGACGATCCTTTCCAATCAAGGTACATCTCCTCCAGACCTCCGGAGGCTCTGTCTCCATCCTGTGGATATATGACAGATAGAAAAAAGCAATTTGGGAAGAACGAGGCGGGGAAAGGTAAATAATATAAAAATAAAAATAAAAAAATAAAAATAAAAAGCAAGGATGTAAACACTTGAAGCACTTGGAGCATGCACGCACCGTTCGCGAAATCGAGTCGTCTCCTCCCCTATCATGGCCAGTCCCGCCAACGCCCAGTACACAATCCACGGGCGGCTGGCGTCCATAGCGACGAACCCCTCGGGATAATCCTCGAGGGCATCGTAAAGGTAGCTGATGTGGAGATCACGTTGCAGGGCGGGTACGCCATGGTCGTTGAAATCCTTCTGGGTGCTGTGGATGCCTTTCAGGAATGGTAGGCACTTTTCCAGGGTCGCATTCTGCAGATCGATGGTCTCTGTGATGAGCGGGTCGCGGATGGGCGGCGGCTGCGTGAACAAGGCCGGGATCCCCGGGCGCGGTTTGGAGTCAGATGGGTTCATGGCTGAAGTCTTTGGAATTGATGAGGTTGGACGGTTGGGTTTTTGTGCGTTCGGAAATCGAACTTTTCGTTTCCCGAGCGGCATCAATGGGATTTGAGTATTTTGTAGATTTTGAAGCTCAAAGAAAGATAAATTGAACGATCTTACTATTGTTCTGTAGATATGAATGTGAATGTAAAATAGAATTCTTTGTTTTCCCCACTCTCGGGTCATCTTTGACCATCTCAGTGACCATCTTTGACGACATCACAACATGTCCAGGTTTCACTGTATTTCCCTATCTTTTCGAGTCCTGGATTATCCTGATTTAGCTAGAATCAGACTTTCTCGTGGGAGATGCATATCTCTCGAGTATTACTCCGTGCTCATTGAAGAGCTCCTGCATGTCACAAGGACCCAACATAATATATATGTGATGGATCTCACGCCATGCACGCAGTATATTGGCTTACATGACACCCTTGCTGCATGTGCCCAATTATTCGAAATAAATCTTTTTTTAAGAAAAACTTCGACCTGTCCGATTTCTTGTTTTGCCATATTAAGGCTAAGGCTCAACAAGATTCCAAGGTTTCCACATAGTCCGTGCAATATACCCGAGCACTATTTTACTATTTTACTATCTTACTAGTACGGAGTACTTAATTTATTATTTATTATTTTCCTATTCTCCAACGGGGAACAACTGCATCAGCATCCTGAACTGGCCCACTAGATACATTTGAGGTATGGCGCATTCAATAAGATACGAATCACGGGCATATGGTGGACAG